CAACTTCAGTCTCTAGCAACCTCAACTCCCCACTCTTGGCAGTTGGATTTCCACTGAAATTGTCCCCGTGACTACGTAAAACCACCCTTCTCTGGCTAGGGTCGGCCAGTGAGTCACTGTCACTACTACTGTTCACCGGTCTTTTTTTCTGGTTCGAAGGGCGCAGTGACGCGAACGCTGCAAGCGAAGCTGATATGGAAGGGCGGGATGGGAAGGGCCGTGCAGGTGGCACACGCCTTACGCATGGCCTGACCATGTTCAAAGTCTACTTTAGTCTCCCCCGGTTTTCGCTAGTCAGTAGCCAGCAATCTCCATGATTGGGAGATGCCTGGCCAGTGTGTTAGTGGTAACTAAGTGGTAACTTAGTGAATACGTACCAGGTAACACTAGCACATGGCAAACGAACTGGGGTACCACTAAGGCTGGCTGATAGCCGCAAGATAGCCTCGACCACGTTCACTGGCCGTTCCTATCAGCGATTTAATCTAATTATCGATTTTCGCCATCGATAAATTCACCGGGCTACCGTCGGCCTTCACTGCATATCGCATGGTGGCTAGCCAGGATTGGAAGGTCGTATGGGCTGTATATGTACCTGCCTTCCTCCGCCTGTTCGTCGTCCCTCTTTCTTGATTCTCTCCCCCAGATCAACCTCAACTGTCTACTTGTTCTTACTGAGTCTCTCGTCTCTCAGTCGTTAGCTCCTCTTTTCACCCTTCACCCTTGCTCTGTGGCTCACAAACCACCACGATGCAGGAGAAGGAAGTGGCCTACTCCACCGCGGTGGCTGATGAGGCAGCCTCGGAGGAGACTGCCGTCCACCTCAAAAACCTGAAGCTACAGCATCAGTGGGACCCCAACCTCCCCGATGAAATCGCTGACGAGATCGATGAAGCCCTCCACACGACCGACAAGGGGGCGCGCGAGGGCATGGCCCATGAGCTGCTGGACGACTCGCCCTACCCCGAAGTGCGCGCTGCTGTGCCCAACTACGACGAGGGTGGCCACACCAACACCATCCGCGCGTGGACCATCGGTCTGATCTTTGCCACCATCGGTTCGGCCCTGAACATGCTGTTCTCCATGCGTAACCCCTATATTGTCATTCCCTCCTATGTCGCCCAAGTCGTCGCCTACCCAGTGGGTGTGTTCTGGGCCAAGGTCATGCCGAAAAAGCAATTCAGTCTATTTGGACGTCAATTTAGTCTCAACCCGGGCCCCTTTAGCAAGAAGGAGCATGCCCTCATTGTCATCATGGCCAACGCAACTTTCGGTGGTGGTGCTGCCTATGCGACGGACGTCCTGTTGGCTCAACGTGCCTTCTATAAGCAGTCTTTCGGATGGGGGTTCGAGATCCTCATGTGTATCTCGACGCAGATGCTCGGGTTCGGTATGGCGGGATTCTTCCATCGGTTCTTGGTGGCTCCAGCCGCTATGATCTGGCCTTCCAATCTCATTAACTGCGCCCTGTTCACGGCGCTTCACGACACCCGCACGCCGGACCCGTCCAAAGTCAATGGATGGCGCATTGGCAAGTACCGCTTCTTCCTCTACGTGATGATCGGGTCCTTCTGCTGGTACTTCTTCCCGGGTCTCATTGCGCCGTTCCTGAGTATCTTTGCCTGGGTCACCTGGATCAAGCCCCAGAGCCCGGTCGTCAACCAGCTCTTTGGCGGCTCGACTGGGCTGTCGCTGATCCCCATGACCTTTGACTGGACGCAAGTTTCGGGTTTCAACTTCAGTCCCCTTATCGCCCCCTGGCATGCGATCGCCAACACGCTCATTGGTATGGTGATCTTTTTCTGGATCGCGACGACTGGCATCCATTACAGTGGCACCTGGTTCGCCGAGTACCTGCCTATTAGCGACTCCAGCAGTTACGACAACACGGCTAATACGTATAACGTCAGTCGCATTATGACGCCGGAGTTCACCCTTGATCTGAAGGCATACGAGGAATACTCCCCGCTGTTCCTGTCCACGACCTTCGCCCTGTGCTATGGTCTCTCTTTTGCTACTATTATTTGTCTGCTCGTCAACACCGGTCTCTTCCACGGCAGTGAGCTCTGGGTGCGCTTCCGCAACTTCGGTAAGGAGGAGGAGGATGTCCACGGCCGCCTGATGGCTCGCTTCAAGCCGGTCCCGCTCTGGTGGTACGGGGCAGTGGTGTTGTCTATGATTGGCATTGGTCTTGGAGTTGTCTTGGGCTATCCGACCCACTTGGACTGGTGGGCATTTTTCGTGGCCTTGATCATTGCTGTGGTGTGGTACGTGCCCATCGGTATCATCCAGGCGTCTACCAACATTGCCCTCGGGTTGAACGTCTTGACCGAATTTATTGTCGGGTATATCCAGCCGGGTAAGCCCATGGCCATGATGCTGTTCAAGACCTACGGGTACATGAGCATGTACCAGGGGCTGTATTTCAACCAGGACATGAAACTAGGTATGTGCAATTTGCTTATGTGTCGAATGCGAGATGAAGCACACCGACTAATCGTCTGAGCAGGCCACTACATGAAAATCCCCCCTCGTGTCTCCTTTTCCGGACAGATGGTTGCCGCCTTGTGGTCCTCTATCGTGCAGATCGCCGTCATGAACTGGGGTCTCGCGACCATCAAGGACGTCTGCAGCCTGGATCAGGTCAACCACTACACCTGCCCCAACGGCCGTGTGTTCTTCAATGCCTCGGTCATCTGGGGCCTCATCGGCCCCCAGCGGATGTTCTCCCCGGGTCAGATGTATGTTAGTCTGCAATGGTTCTGGTTGGCGGGCGCGTTGCTGCCCGTGATAATCTACCTCGCCGCTCGGATGTGGCCCAAGTCCAACATCCGGTACCTCAGCGCTCCCCTGATCTTCGGTGGCGCCGGTCTGATCCCCCCGGCCACCCCGCTCAATTATCTCACCTGGGGTGTTGTGGGTATGATCTTCAACAAGTACATCCGCGACAAGTTCCGCGGCTGGTGGATGCACTACAACTACATCTTGTCCGCCGGGCTGGATGTGGGATTGGACTTGTGCACCATCCTGATCTTCTTGACGATCGACCTCACCGGCGCGAGCTTCCCCGAGTGGTGGGGCACCCGCATCGCCAGTGGTACCATGGACACAATGGGTACGGCCATCCAGAAGACGGTCAACGGAACCTTTGGTCCGGCGACCTGGTAGTGCGAGCGAGCTGCGGCGATTACACCGTCCATAGGTCGATAACCTTCGTTGTTGAATCGTGGCGGAGGGGTGTTCTGGCGGAGCAACGGCCGAGAGAGAAAGTGCAAGCCCGCCGGTGGACCTGGCTGGGGCTGTGATTTATGATCCCGACGACTTATCTCACTGTATTATGATTATGTGATAATTCCTAATTCTATCTGTTGGTGATCTTACATGGTTGAGCTGTCTCATCGTAGGGCACTTTTTCTTGATTGTCATGTTGTAATGTTTTGTGACCCAATAGTTAACTTAACCTCCCAGCTGCGACTTCTCGCGCATCGCCCGGAAGCATTCAGCAACACGAAAAAAGGCCTCCTTCGGCACCCATCGAGGCATTCCCACCCGGTTCTCCTCCTGATGCCCCTTCTCCTCCTCCGGAAGGTACTTCACCAACGAGAAACACATCATATCGAAATCTCTCGCCCCGACCCCGGCCGGCATACAGGGAAACGCAAACACATAGACGAAGACGGCGTCCACCTGCGCCTCGGCCATGGCCAGCAACCCCAACTGCGTCTCGAGGTAATCGGCCTGCTCGCGCTCGCACCGCGTTGGGACGATATCCCCCTCAAACACCCCACTCCCATCGGGATTCCGGCCCTTGAGCAAGGCGAAGCCGCCATCGCCGCGGACGGCCGCGCCCTCGTACGCACAGCATCCGACCTCCATCACCACGAGGGGCTTGTGTTTCTGCTTGTTGTTGCTGTTAGGGTCCGAGTCGACCACGCGGTGCCGCTCCAGCCCCGCGAGATAATCCGAGGCCGTCTCGCCCCGCCGGTAGTAGTCCACCCCGACGAGATCGAACAGGTCCCAGTCCACGGCCTCCCAGGTGCCCGCGGCGTAGGTGACGGGCCCGTGGAAGTGGGTGCGAATTTCGGTCATGAAGGTGCGGAGCGCCGCGTTCAGGAGCTCAGCTTTGGCGAGGACGGGGGGTGGGATTGCGGGGCCACTGTCGGTAGTATCGGTTGTTGTACTGGCATCACCATCGCCCCGACCACCGGCTGTAGCAGCAGCAGCAGCAGCCAACTGCCCCCCAAACCATCCCGCCCGCTCCTCGAACGTCTCCCCCGGAAACACCCCGCGACTGAAGATACTGTACTCGCACCCCGCCACGAAGACGAGGTCGGTCAGTCCGTCGTGCACGCGTAGCTGCTCGGCCACCTTCGCGGCGGCACGGAGGTACCGGCTCGTCTCGGGGACGTCGGCGTGCATCTTCCACGGGTTGAAGTAGACGGTTAGCCCTGCGGCGTGGGCGAGGCGGGCGGCGGTCGCGAGGCGGTCGAGGGGCTCGCCTTCGAGGCGGACGGCGGTGGCGTGTAGGGTTTCGGCGATGGTGTGCATGTCGTGAGCGACGTGGGTGGGGTTGAAGGTGGGGATGGAGAGGGTTTGGGGGGTGGTGTTGGTGAAGTTGAGGCCTACGTCGTAGACGATGCCGGGGTGGGGCATTTTGGTGGTGGTGGTGGTGGTGGTGGTGGTGATTCGAGGGAGGCTTGGAAGGTGAAGAGGTGGGAATGGGTTGGCTAGGAAGTAGGAGAAGTGTAATTGCAAGTGCAAGTGCAAGTGCAGGTTGAAAGTGTTTTGCTTGTGCTTCGAGGGAATATATACATGCCCTCTGCATACTCTGTATAGGGTTGAGACCCGGACAGCGCAGTCTTGGCGTTCCGATCTCCGTCTCCGTGAAATTTCTCTCCGCCTCCGGCTCGGCTGTCCCCGGCTCGACTTCTCTCTGACACCCATTGTGTGGATGGACAATAACTGGGGCAACTTGTGCTCGTGCGCGTGCTCGAGTACTCATGTCTGACGTCCTCGGTAGTAGCAAGAGGGCAAGAGAGGAAGATCTGGAGCAGGATCACCCCGAGGTGGAGAAGGTGGCTGTATGGTTCTCAGGCCCTCTACCGGGTGGCGAGTGCAGGGCTGGATGCTAACGCTTTCCTAGTGCGATCGATGTCGTCAGCGGAAGGTGACTAGTCTTGAAAATTCACACTTTCACACCTTAGAGTTAAGCACTAATGCGTGTTGGTAGACCAAGTGCGATCGGGTCAACCCCTGTGTGCAGTGCCTCCGAACGGGGTCGGACTGTACTTACAACCGGGGACATCAGCTCAGAGAGAAGCGACAACGCGTTCTTATTTCTAGCGTCTAGTAAGTTCCTAACTCTCTCGATAGGGTACAATCATTGACGGACAACAGCGAGCGGAGACTGGAGTACATTGCGAATAAGCTTGACCACCTTGCAGAGGTCGTTGGTCGACTGAGCCATGAGCACGCCAGCCGTGCAACGCCAGCCGGACTGCGTTTGCCATTGCAGCCCTCCTTTCACCAGCCCAGTAAGTCATATTCTTCTGCTCCGACACAGGCAGAAGGTATCGAATCCACCCTTTTCGCTCATGTGATCTACACTGCGAAATGCCTCCAAGCGGCGGTGATGGACCCCCGTCTCCCCCATAGCGATGCCCGCGAATTGACTGCCGCGCTGAATAGCCTGTGGAGCACGATAGCTGCACAGAAGCAGCAGAACCAGGCCCTGGAATCCTCGCAGCCATTCGCCAAGGTATTTCCCCAAAGCTTGACCGCAGACTTCAAAGACCTGCCGATCCCCTCCCTAGACCGGATCATGGCATGCTTGAGACTCGCTCACGGTGCGTGCACTTTACCCCCCCCCCTTTCAGCGGCAATCGTCCCAAGACTAAACAAATTGTCAAAGAGTGCTCGCCCAGTCGGCTCTATTGGCCCTTCGAGTTCGGATCCCTGGGCGACTTCACCCACTACGTGATCCGAGCGTGCTCGCCGGGCCCGATCACCGAGATGGAGCTGGTCATTGTGCACTACGTTCTTGCCTGGCTGTTCACCGAATGTGCGAACCTCACGGGAGGCGACCCCCTGCTCAAGCAGGACTACGAGGTCCAGGCCCTCATCTGCCGACAGAGTCTGGAAACCCTTCTTGGTAGTCTGTCCTTTCATGTAGCCACGAGCTTGGACGCTGTGTGTGCTATGTACATGGCTGTATGTTCGTTCCGCATCCTTGTTTACGGTCCGTTAGGTAATTCGCTAAGTTTCCCAATCTCGCGGTAAACAGGCAATTCACTGTCTCCAGCACGGGAAACCTTTCACCGCGTGGTCCTTCATCACCCGGGCTGCACTCATCAGCCAGGCCCTCGGATTACACAGCCGTCATGCCACCATGGGCCTGGCTGGACTGGAAGAAGCCGAAGAGGATGACAATGATGAAAAGCAGCGGAAGACGCTCCTCTTCTGGGCGGTCTACGTCCTCGAGAAAGCTCTCGCCCTGCGTCTGGGCCGGCCGTCCACGATCCACGACGCCGACATCACACTGCCCAAACTCCGTCTCGACCGCCGCATGGCCTCCCTCCTCCACAACCGGCTGCCGGACTGGATCGAGGTGGCCGGTCTGTACGGACGGGCGTACGACGAGATCTGTAGTCCGAAGGCACTGGCGCAGACGGCGGATGTGCGGGAGTCGCGGATCCGCGCTGTGGCGCGAGAGTGGGAGGGTGTCATTGCTGCGAGGGGGGAGTTGTATGTAAGTTACCTCCCCCACCAATTCCATCATCTACCTTGGTCCGGTTAGAAGAGGCTCTTCAACTGATTTTCATCCTGTCTCGCGGTGAGCAGAAACACCCCGACCAATGGACCAGCCATGTCCTTCCCCGCGGACTGAGTGAGTTCATCGTCCACGCCAACCGCGCAACCGAGTACTCGGTCCTGGCGTCGATCCATCGAGCTATCCCTTCAGGCAAGGAAACCCAATCTCCAGCGCCTTTCTCTTCCATCAACGGTGCAACGAAACCCAATCCGGAATCCCTCGCTGCAGCAAGACTCTCCCTCGCCGAGACAGACGCCTGCATCGCCGCCACGTTCGCCGCCGACGCCGCGACGTGGTCGTCTTCCCCTGCCTTCGATACCTGGGTCACCGAGAACTTGCTGGTTGCGCCGATCATGCCGTTCTTGATTCTGCTCGGCGGGCTCGTGCACTCGCCTTGTGCGGAGGAGTCGGATCTGGATGTCCTTAGGCGGATCGTTGATGGCGTGGGTCGGATGGAGCGGGTGGCCCGGTACGCGCGGTGTCGGAAGTATGGCCGGGTTTTTCGGGCCTTGTATGATGTTGCTGCTGCGTTGGTAGGAGTGAGAGTCAAAGAGGGGATAGATGTGTATAGTGGAGAAATGGGAGTTGGTGTTGGTGAGGGAGGGGATTTGAGTGGGCTGGGGGATCTGGATGCATTTTTGGATTGGAGTGGGGTTGAATAGGGAGTGATTGTATTGTGTCTTCCCCAATACCATAGACACTACACGGAGACAGGTTCGGAGTTTTCTTTCTTCTTTCTTTCCTTCTTTCTTTCTTTGAAGAAGGAGCTATCAACATCTCACTGCCAAATCGCTAACCCCTGGTGGACAAGTACTCTGGTTGAAACCCCTGGGATTGATGTCTTTGATAGTGTTTTGGCTATACGTACGAGAAAACCCTTGACACGTCTACATCAAACTCGCCATGGAGTTCTAGCTATGGAGACACAAGAAATATTACTAGATAGGATTCCCCCGCGCATCAACCGGCATCTCCCTCCCCGACCCCAAGCGCTTGGATACGCGACGATCAATGGGCCCAAACCTGGCCTTTCGAATCCGGCCAAAATTGCGACTATACCAGTCCACAACCTGCTCGTCAGCACAGTCATCCAGCGCATCATTGTTCACCTCCAAATACCCACCCATTCATCATCGCCACCCAGTACCGCAGGTCCTTGCCCCACGCCGAAAAGCCCGTGGCGGATTCCTCCTCAACCGCCGCCCGGACAACGCTCTCCACCAGCGCTCGCTCCAGCGCGTAGTGTAGGTTACCGTAGCTCTCGTATCGCTGTGCTGCTGCTGCTGCTACCGTCGCACCTGTCTCATCACGGGGAGCCTCCTGCCACTGCCAACCATCAAAAACCTGCGCGAACGAGTTCGGAAACAGGTACAGCTGCATGTCCTTGTCCTTTGGGTCGTCGTCCGGATAATCGAACACGGCGCACGAGCGATCCACGCGGTGGTAGTAGGCGTTGATCTCGGCCAGCATCTGCTGGGGGTTGGGGTGGCGCGCTATGATGGCGGGGTGGGGGTTGCGGTTGGGCACGCTTCGTGTAAACCCGTCCTTCGCTAGGCGGGATTGCGCGGTGGGGTAGTCGGCGTCCTGGACTACGATCATGGGGGCCTACTCACGGATTTCAGAAAGGAGAGGAGGGAGGGGGGGGGGGGGGGGGGGGGGCGGGGGGGGGGGGGGGGGGGGGGGGGGGGGGAGGTTGTGACGACGGGGGGTGGTGGGGCATGGGCATGGGGTTTACGTACCCCAACTCCGACGGGAACGCCCAGATACCACATCGCGAGTGCGCTCCAGGGAATCACGGGGATCGGTTGGAGGATCTTGCTCAGGCGCAGGGAGAGGTTGTGGCGGTTCTGGCGTGGGCGTCGGAACATGGTTGGCGTAGATGGTGGGTTCTGTTCTTTCTTGCGGAGAGACTGGTTTTCTTTCTTTATAATATTTGGGGGGAGTTGGATGATACATCGTTGAGGATGTTTGTGTGATGTAGGTTGTGTTATGTATTATTCAGGAGATTTGGGGAATTGGTTGAGGGCTGGTTAAGCCGGTGTCTGTCTTGCCACGTCTTCCATGCATGATTTACTGGCCTTTCGATAAATTTACCTCGGATATGACCAGGATACAGCTTTGTATACCCCGTCTGGGTGCCTAGTGTCTTGTATAGTATACTAAGACATTATACCTATTTCTTATATTTCCTTTCCTGCATTTCCTTCCTTTCTTTCTCTACCCATTTTTCAACCCTTTCTTCTTTCTTTGCCTCTTCTATCGAAATGAGAATCGAGCGAGTTGAAATTATCATAATCCTACAAGAGGCGTGCCTATATGTGTTGTACACTCATTGCGTGTTGCATGTAACTGGCATGTATGAGTGCTGTTCAGCTGAAGTAAAGAATCTGCATAGATCAAAACCAGTTCCTCAATCTGCTCTAGTGAATCAGAACACAATGCCAGCCGCACCCACTAAAACCCATACGTCGACCACTTGGCATCCACTTTATCCTGAATTTCCCGAGGATAGTTCCCGCGGTAAGAGGCCTCCTTATACGTAGGCACCTCGGAGAACTCACTGGCGAACATGCAGCAGCGCACGACCTTCACATGATTCGCCCCGGTCTTGGCCCCATGCGACACGTACGGGATCAGCCCGATGTTGGGGTACTGGTCGAAGAAGTACTCGTTGTCGCGGGGCTGGCAGCGGGTGGCGTTGGCCCAGATGACGTCGCGCAGGTTGGTGGGGTCGATGTCGTCGCCGACGAGGTAGACGATGGGGATGTAGTAGCCGGGCTTGGAGGCGAAGACGGTGTGGCCGACCTCGCGGCTGAAGGCCTCCATGGTGGAGTGGCGGGCGCGCAGCTGCGCGCGGTCGACCTGCAGCACGAACCAGAGGCAGTGCGACTCGAACGGGTTCCAGACCATCGTGATGGGCAGGCCGGCCTGCTGGCAGAGGTTCAGCACCTCGGCCGCCTGCGTCAGCCCCCAGACCGTCTCGCTCTCCTCGGGCGCGCGGCCCGTCACGCAGAGGGGCAGGATCGGGTCGCGGCGGTAGGTGATGGCGTCGATCCGGTGCAGCGGACACTCCTTCTGCTCCCCCGGGAAGATCAAGCCCGGGTACTCGGCCATGGGGCCCTCGGGCGCGGTCTCGGTGCGCGAGATGACCCCCTCGAAGACGATCTCCGCGTTCGCCGGCACCAGGATGTGGTTGGTTTCGGCCTGGGTCACCTCGACCGGCCCACCGATCAGCGCCCCGATGTACTCGCTCTCGTTGACCCCCTTTGGCAGCGGCATCCCGCTCACCATGATCGCCGCGGGCGGTACCCCGAAGCACAGCGCGAAGGGGCAGTCCTTGCCCAGCTCGGCCCACATCTGCCGGATCACCCCGATGTCCTGCCGCGGGATCATCGGCCCCACCAGCGTGCGTTTCCCGTGCAGCATGCTGCGCGTGATCGACCAGTTCACCCACGCCCCGTCGGGGCTCTGCACGATGTACATGCCGAACGTCTGCAGGAACTTGCCGCCGTCGTCGGCGTGCAGCATGGGGATGGGCAGGGCGGTAAGGTCGATCTCATCGCCCAGCAGCTTGAACTCCTTGACGGGGCCCGTGGGGACCTCCCTCGGTGGGATCTGAGGCAGGTGTTTGGCGGCCCGGAACTTCTGGATGATCTCCTGTCCGGTGGCGGTGGCCGGCAGCCCCAGCGACTTGGCGATGCGGATGAACCGCTTGCCCGGCTGTTTGCTGGCGCCGACGGGGGCGCCCAGCACGCGGAACAGGCCGTTCGGGTGGCGCCCCTTGAGATTATTGAACAAGGGTGCTTTGTCTTCGGTCTCGTAGACCTTGCGTGTGATGGCTGCCAGCTCCAGGTCCGGGTCGACTTCTTCGTCGATGGCGACCAGGTCGTTCTCGGCTTGGAGGTCTTGGATGAAGCGCCGGAAGCTGGCGCAGGCGGGTTGGGTGGATTCTTGGGGGGTTGTTTCGGCCATTGCGGAGGATGTAGGTGAGACCAGAGAAGGTGAGTCAGATGAGTGCTGTGAGAGACTTGGTTTGAAAGATTGCGTCTCTTTTATAGGGTTGCGTCGGCGTCAGGTGTCTGGAGTAGATACCTCAGGCCATGGCAGCGGACGGAACATATCTCCCAGCCGGGGATAGCGGGATAAGGCCGAGCGGCCCGAGCCCCGCTCCCCGCTGACTCATCAGCCCTACTTCGACCAATCTCAATTGTTAAATTGTGCTCTGAGGTCAAGCTATACGCGCCAAGAGGAATTAATATCTTTAATATAGCGCCAGTTGCTGCAAACCTACTGGATCGAGTTAAGCTGTGCCCCTCCTTGACCCCGCAATCTGCTGCCGACTCCCGAGACCACCGCTGATCGTGAGTAATGGAAACGGCGATTGCATCACGTTCAGGAGAACACCTCCTCTGAATGCTGAGATGGTAAGTACATAAACCCGGCAATCTACCGAGTCACTCCAGACATGCCTCGTCAATGTTCTAAGCCTCTCAACCCAAAGCCTCTCATCATCGTCTACCTCAACCCTCACACATCAAAATGTCCACATCCACCACCCCACCCACAACGACCTTAACAACCCGCCGCAAACGCATCATTGTCGCCCTCACCGGCGCCACCGGCACCATCCTGGGCATCCACGCCCTCCTGGCCCTGCGGGCCCTCAACGTCGAAACCCACCTGGTCCTCAGCAAATGGGCCGAGAACACCCTGAAGTACGAGACGGACTACACGGTGGCGAACGTGCGCGCGCTCGCCGACTTCGCCTACAGCAACCACGACCTGGCCGCGCCCATCGCTAGCGGCTCCTTCCGCGTCGACGGCATGATCGTCGTCCCCTGCAGCATGAAGACGCTGGCCGCCATCAACGTTGGGTACGGCGAGGACCTGATCGCCCGCGCCGCCGACGTCATGCTCAAGGAGCGCCACCGCCTCGTCCTGGTCACCCGCGAGTGTCCGCTGAGCAGCGTGCACCTCGAGAACATGCTGGGCGTGACGCGCCACGGGGCGATCGTGTTCCCGCCGGTGCCGGCGTTCTACACGCGCCCGGCCGGGTTGGCGGAGGTCGTTGAGCACATTGTTGGGCGGGTGTTGGATCTGTTTGGGTTGGAGGTGGAGGGGTTGCCGAGGTGGGAGGGGTTTGTGAAGGATTGATTTTTTTGGGATTGGGATTGTGTTTTCGTAGAAGGTTACTTTGGGGTTGGTGGAATAGGAGTTGGGTGGTTGTGTTGCGCGTGGTTGTTTTTCAATGGGAACTCTTCTTGTTGCTTTTATTTCGGATAGAGGATTTTCATTTCGAGGGATAGATATTCATATAATGATACTCGATATTGACCCTGACGCTTTTCGGAACTGACTTATGCTACACTTTCTCGGAAAGCTCTATGTGTTCCTTGTTGAACGAGATAAGAGAACCACTTAATCACATTTTGTTACTTAAGGTGTTTGATGAGGGAACACCTCTCATTATTGATTATCTCAAGACCGTTTAGGTGGAAGTTAAGTACCTATAGAACATAAATCTCTACTTACGATCATTCTGTATATGGCCTCACGTCAGGAGAATTAGATATTTAGTATAGCAATTGGCAAAGATGACTGTCTGCCCTGAATAATGGTTATAATGGGTAAACCTCGGCATTCTGGCACCCTAACCCGAATTCAGCTCGGTTGAACACCCCGGCTGGGGGATATTCGATTCGCGCCTGGCTTAGTGTGATCATGTTCAACATATGCCGTACATTGTTCAAAGGTCAAGCTTTCAAATGTGTAGTCCCGTGTGTTTGCGGGACATATTTGCATAGTGGAAATGGCGAGACCTGATCTAAAGCTAGAGAGACAAAATGAGAATGCGCTGCCCGGTGAGTCTACCAGCATGACTCGGCCCAGCAGGGTTCGCTAAACATAAAAAACTCCTGCTTGATCTGGGGGTGACGGGTTAGAACCGGTTGAGCGGTGATGTGCTGGCTACGACTTGGTGCGTTACGAGCGTGGTGAGTACGACGGTGTCCAGTGCGGCTGGGTCGGCTGTGCCATCGTCTTCTGTTGTCACTCCGTCTTCAACTCCCTCTGTCGTGCCTTCGTCGGTGGCATCTTCTACTGTCATCCCATCTGTTGCGCCCTCTTCGCCGGTGGTGTCTTTTCTTTGTCATCACCTCCAGCTCGGCGATTGTCTCTCCACCCGGAAGGCTTTCGAGCAGCTCCGCCGTGGTGCAACCTAGCCCTAACTCATCCCCCGTCGTCTCTCCTTCGTTCGTCAGGGCTCGTCCCCTTATCCGTTCAACCTCTACGGCTGATGTCATGTCCATGAGCAGTGCGTCTTCACACGTAGTGAGGCCCAGTGCCGGTTCTACTGAGGCAGCCCACCCCACACCCTCTGTCTACAGAGCCGGTCAGAGATCCACCTCTGCAAAGCATAGATTCTGGGCTTTGTCGGAGAGTATACGGCAACCCATTGAATCTTTGTGAGTCTTGCACTGCCCCAAAGCCTCCATGGACAATGGCATTACAGCAGCACCAGAAAGGATTGGGGGTTGATCAGTCCTTTGACCGGCATCAGAAGCCCGGATCGGCGTACACTGTTCGTTGTCTTGTATCCTCTCCAAACCAATGCTCGGGCTGTGGTCAAGGTAGAGATGATGTCGCGGGCCAGAGAGCGGCTGGGGAGAAAATCTGAGACGAAGAAGACGTTGAAACTCAATCAGCCTCGAGAATGCATGGGCTATCATCATGCATTGTCACTGGTCTAGATTGAGTTACAATGGAAGGTATGCATGGTACAGTACAATACAGAGCAGTATAGTACAGACTGGTTACAATACACTCCGGTGGCATTAGTAAAGTAGCAGTCGTGAGGTAGATATCAATCAGCACGTTACAGGGTACGCCTGATACTACTAGGGAGGTAAGATCCGGATACATACATACCGGTACTACCCCGCTGCAAGCCCGGCTTTTGTCTACCGCTTTAAGATGGATGCTTCTGCCGCTCGGCGGGGCAATGCACGGACTCCCGCATCCATTCAAACAGGTAAGTTACCTACTGAGCACATCCTAGCTGCAGTGGAGGGACCAACGATGGCGGGTGCACAAGCACGCAAGCACCACTGAGGTGACTGCCCCCGACATTGTTTTTGCCTACCGGGTGGATGTCATCCGCAACAAACGCGACGGCATGGTGAGCCAAAAGATGTTTGCTCACAAGGCGACCTTTATGACGGGGACATCCAGCGAGTCGGAGCTTGAGTACCTGGAGGTCGACCCCCAGATCCTCGCGCAGGACATCAGCCAGCGATTGGAGAACGTCCAAGTCCACCCGATTGGGGATGATGAGGCTTGGGTTTCCGGTGGTCTCTGTCCTGGCAATCATTGGACTGGGCTGCTTCAATTACCAGAAACATTCACAATTCTGTTGCCCGACGCGAGCAATGCGAACGTGTGGGCCCTTTGTTTTCCCGTGTTTCGGTCGTAGATAAAGAGTATCTCGGGACAGATCAAGCGCAATCCAGGGCCCCGCGGCTTGGAAATATGATTAAACAGGTTCGCCATACCGTCCTTTTTTCGTAGTTCCTCGAGGGAGCTGGCATCCAATTCCTCCGGGTATTGCTCATGGAGGTATGTAGCGTACGAAAGCAAAAGGGCAGCGATTCCCGCTGCCACCGCCGTAGCGACCGAAGAGCCCGCCCTACGCGTATCGGGAATGTATTCACAAAGCCTCTCTGGAACGTCTTGGCCGATCGCGGTGAGTGATAGGTTCGTGTATGGCTCCTCCCACGGGGGATTCGTGCTGCTGGGGTTCCCATTGGAGTCGGCCGAGCGTATCGAGAACACAGTCTCCAGCTTTGCGGGGGTGGTCGCGCCTTGGTAAAGGCCGTCGTTGCCCGCGGCGGCGAGGAAGACTATCTTACCCTTTCTATCACCGAGTACTTTCCTCACGGCATCCTCAATGACCTTGTCCTCGTCGTCGTGTCCCCAAGACATCGAGATGATGCTGCACTCATTGTCGGTGGCCGCCCATCTCAAGGCCTGTCGACTGTTAATGACACCATCCTTTGCATACGTACGAACGTGCTCTCAAGGAAGAAAAGGAAGAAACAGACAAAGAAGACTCCTGTGCCTACAACATACCTTGCTGATCCTATCTGCAGTGCCGGAGGTATTGAGATCTTTTTCCGTCACTTTCGCGACATAAATGTCCGCGAACGGTGTGGCTTTTGTCACGAGAGTAGTCATGAAAGTCCCATGCCCGTCTGAGTCGCTCATAAACTGAGGCCCCTCGGAGTCGGTGACAAAATCCTTGTATCCCTTGATCTGGGCTTGTCGCTTCTTATGGCCCTGAAAGTATTCCGTCGCGAGCTTGCATCCCGTATCTAGTATCGCCACACGGGTGGGTCTCAGTCCACTGTTTCGAAGCTCAACACTCATGCCTCGTAGTTTGCTCATCCACTCTTGGGACTTCCCGACACCTCTAAGATGAAACGAAGCGGAGGTTTGAGAGCCTGGAGGTGGCTTGTCGGCAGAGTTAGGGCTGTTGAAAGTCGGGCTGTCGGCAGGCGGCGGTGGTTCCGAACGATCTTTTCTCTCGCAGTGGTTGCTGCGCTTGTAATTGCTGGGCAGCGAACTCGCCAGCCACTCCAGCGGCGTCACAACCCTTTGTTTCAGAATCTTCCGTCTCTCCAAAATGTCCATGCTGGTGTGAAACTTGAAGATACCTCCTCGGACACACGCATCAAAGGCCTGGTTCAGGACAAACTTGCCCGTGTACCCTGTCCAGCTGTCGTCTTGAAATTCGTCGAAGAGCTTCGAGATGGTGCGGAAGGTTTTGTTCATATCGCGAACAAAGCCCGTTGCATCTTGTTGGAGCTGGGGCGTCTGAATCGACCTTCTCAGACAAATCTCCAGGAGCAGAACCCCCAGTGAAAAAATCCGGGGACATCGGTGAATCAGGTCCCTGGTCGAAAACTCCTCCAACTCGTGCTCAGTGAGGGTGAAGGGGATTGAGATGAAGACTTTGCATGGCAGCGGGTCAGCCGGGTTGTCGGAGTTTGGCATAAGCCAGATGGTGGTATCGGACCACCTCGCCAGCATCATCTTCGTCTCATACGACTGCCAGAACCCGCGTGCGACGGCATGACACAACGCAATCTTCTGCGGAATGTCGAGCCTGTATTCTTCAAGAGCGCGCCTTAGGGGGACCCCACCGCCGCGTGCGGCTTCATGGTGCAATGCGCAGGCATAGTCGTACGTGGAGAATCCGCCGTCTTCGAGCTGCAAGAGCAGGCGAGCGTGATTCTCTTCACCCAGCTTCGTACACAAGTTGGTCCCGTCCATCTTCGCAGGGGGAGCCTTTCCGGCCGAGGTAATCTCTTCCTGGGTCGTGGTACACCCAAACTCCTGCCAATACTGCAATGAAGGCGGAGAGATGAGCACATCCAACATGCTCTTCGCACCGTCTGTTCGCTCGGGCCTGCCCAGGTATAGCCTGCCAACGTGCCCCTTCTGCTCAGTCGGGGACCTCTCACAACCCTCGCATCCTGAAAGATCCCAGAGGGCTGACAGAATGCGTGTGATGGCTGTATCCCGTGAAATCCCGTCTTCTTGCGACTCCCCACGATCGCTCATCAGAATTGCTATCTCATCCGAAAGTGTCGTGGACTGGTCGAGCTCCATGATCAAACGCGCGGTAATGATGGGACTCAAAACAAGGAACGTCGGCCCTGTCCTCAGAACCTCGGTGAACCTTGCTTTTTGATCGCTCTGCGGGTGAGAGTTGAAACCCTCCACAATCCTGCGTAGGCTTTCATCTGCCCGCTCCGCTACCTCGGGCCAGGCCGGCCACTGATATGGTGTTGATGATTAGCGTTATCGAGCCACATTACTGGGTGTTGCGGAGCTCACCTTATCAATGAGCATCAGTTCTTGAAGAAGATCTAGCGCTCGATCCCGAATTCTAGGGTCTGGGTCTGTGTGTCTTTTAACCCGACTGAGATATTTGTGGACATCTAGAAGCTTCTTCGACAGTGCATTGGCCTCCGCGGAAAGCCCGTCATTTTCTCTTCCTACTTCCTCAAAGAGATCACCCGTTTCCTTGCTGAGGGAGACTGCGACCTCTACAGGGTCATTCGGGAGTGGCGCATTTAGGTCGTCCGATGGCCGGATCCTCCAAGATCTGAGCAAACGAGTCAGAAAATTTTCAACCATGGCTCTAAATCTCGCACCCGGCTCAGGGAGTTGGCTCTGGATAGGGATGCTAGGATGACAGAAAAGAAAGGCGAAGGTCACTCGGGGGAAATAGAGGGACCAGTTAGGCTCAAGACTGCGGAAAGGGACCTGCGTTTAACAATTTGCAACTGCACCAGCGGGATCGACTACATATACCTCTCTAGGTGATTCTTCAATGTCTTGACAGATAGAGAGAACAACCTTTCACTGGTCAGACATCTCAAGTCACTTGTAGTAACTGTAACTGCAGTCAATTCACAGTAGTTTCTGGAGACAAAAAAATCTTTCTCCCATATCGAAGGCAATCTTCCGAACCTCGAAACCGCCCCCAAGCTTCTGGAGCTCAGATGCCATGCAGTTGTCGATCTGATTCGGTAATCCTACTGCGCCCATTGAGGTTGCTGTCGCGAGTTTGTCTCGCCAATTTTGTTCGCTATGTCAAGTCTAGTCTCAGCTTGATAGTCTTACTCAGGGCCTTGTGACAACATGAGAGAAACCGCCTACCTGAGTGTCAGGTGCTCCTGTCTCTCATTGGATGGTAGATATCACTTCTTCGTGAATCTGCAAGGCCATTGATATTGGCCAATCCCTTATCCACCAGGAATTCACCCTCTAGACTGGTCGGCGATGAAGATCCCGCAATAACTCTTCGGATTTCCAGTCAGTGGGATGTCTTGCAAATTCAGCCCCTGTCTCCAATGTTATGCCGTCCTAGATGCCATTGAAGACGGAGATCCTGTTGTGAATCCACCATGTACACCTCCTTGGCTTGGCGGTGTCAGAGAAGCACGGTTCTAGGCTTCATGGCCTGGATCACTCTTGAGAGATAGTGGATTCATTTGCAATATGTTATGTTCGAGCTATGATTCCGCCAAGAGGACCACGACAGCAGGTTCTACCAATCTTTCTGCTAGAGTGGTGGGTCACAGTCCCCCAGGCCGTCTGCCCCATAGAGTTTCCAGCAGGGTGGGATGAGTAAAGTCGTGGATATCTTGTTGTCCTAGCTCCGATTCTTGCAATAGTCAAACGCCATGGATGCACACCGCCTCTTTGGGTATAGGGGGTTCAAGGGGGTTGGGCGAAGGAGGACCTGGACTTTGGCCCACCCCAACTCTCAACGCCGGACAGGAGCGACTCTGACAGGTAGTGTGAAGCTGCATTTCCCCCTTTCGGTGGACTTGGGCATCGTATTCGTAGGCAATATGTTTTACTCTTCGTATTTGGCGGATGTGTCTTTGCTTTTTGGTGACTCCCCCCGTCCCCCCTTTTCAGTTCCCACCGCTCCTGCCTGTCGCTCTGGCAATGTCTCAGGCAGACCCCGATAGTGTGGTTATGCACGTTTCCGGTGCATCTTCTGGCGCATTCATCAAGATCGAGAACATAGTTGACAGAAGCACTGGACAATCTTTCATGGAATGACCAGAAGAGGGCTCAGACCCACTGTAACTGTGTGTGCACTGCCTATGTCTCTAGTCCTTTTTGTGCAAAGAACCGAGCCAATGCGAGCGTTGTCCGTTGTCCATCCGAGTCGTCTCTTTTGGCTTTGCCAGTCCCTCTATCCGATGAAACAATTATTGAGCGGCGCTCTTCCAGACCACGGGGAAAGGGGAGTGAGTGCTCACCAAGAACAGTCCAGTCTCTGCTGAAAGAGCACAGATACTCCTCCTCCGCCTCCTCCAACCGGCGACGGAAGATAGAGTACGCAGAAAGATCGGTGCCCGTTTGCGCCCACTGCGTGCCCTGACCGGTGAACACCGCCGGCGGCACCATCGTCCCCAACTCATGCAGCGCATATCCGAGGGCACGACCGCACACGGTTGCCAGAGGAGCTGACTGGAAAATTTATGAGGAGATACTGCCGCTAGCTATTGATGCATATGTGTCAGCTAGAAAGCCAACGAATTAGCAGAGGATGATATGCGAGTTGAGGCTGCCGCTCAAGGCGCAATTCGGTCGCATTCACGTCCCTGACACTATTCACTCCAGTACTGGTCAAAATGCCACAGTTGCCATTCTTGTCATCTTGGTGCTTCATTGTTAGTTCAATTATTTCAATTCTCCTCGTCAGGTGATAGACTCTAGAAGATGGATATTCCTGAGTGGGATGTCCCAGCCCCCTTTGTTTTAATCGTATCCCATGCATACCTTGCAAGATCTTAGAGAACCCGTGTCCGAGGGTCCAGGATCTATCTGCGAATTAATTCCTGTCTATCTAGGATGATGTAGATGACGCGTACAGTAGCTGGCCGAGATGCATGGGATCGGGCTTCCACCCTTGCTTTCTCTTCTGTTCGCGTGTGCTCTGAGGACACTTGGTTCAGAATACTATCAGATTCAACAAGCAAACTATATATGCCCTGAAAACTCAGATAACCAGCACATACGACCACAGGGTGTGGAAAACAGGGCTTCCCGTCCGCTCAGCCGTACTTAAGCCACACGCCGGGAGGTTAGTAGTTGGGTGGGTGACCACCAGCGAATCCCTTCTGTTGTATGTTTTTTGCAAGCCCACAGTCAAGCCCACAGTCATATTGCTCTTCATACCCTCCTTGTCCTCGATCAATGACAGCGGAGAACCACAATATCGCCCACGCCCACTTCCTCTGTCAAGCTAACAACGCTCGTATCAAGGGTGTGACGGCCGTTGTGCGAACACCGGGCCCTCCCAGGTCTACCTCACACTAAAACCTGCCCAAGGGCCACCAAGCTCTCGACCCGCAACTGTGCTTCCCAGTAGAGTTACGGAAACAAGGACAAGAAAAGGCTAAACAGCCAGAGTCATGAGTCGTGAAATCATATCCCGGCGCAGAAACTCTGTAAGAGCTCGGTAGGATTTCAGTTTGCTCGGAGTCTTTGCGCATAGCCAATGCGAGCGCGATGCCTCCTCGTGCGGGTCGAAACATCAGACTAGGTCTGGATTACATCTTGGTGAAGTCGAGGACCCGCGCTAGAAATAAACTACTAATCATCTCTCGGCACATGCTCGTGCTCTGAATCCAAAACCACCAAGGGAGCGTAGCAGCACTTCCCCTTCCTCTACCCAGCATTGCTCTGTTTCTCTCAAGAATAAGGATTCAAGTATCTCACTCAACGCTCAACGCCAAAGAGTGAAGCCAGCGATGATCATGACATTCAAATCCACCCTCCTCTTCTCCCTGACGGTCCTATCCTCGAGCGCTCTCACCCTTCCCAACTCCGTCACCCCGCTTCAGCAGACGCTGCTCGACCAGGACCCTCCTCCCTGTGACATATCATCCCCCGAGACGCAGATGCAGCAGCAGGATACCACCGCAGTCCACGACAGCCAGCTCGGAATTCACTACGGCCAATGCTACAACCTCATCCACCCGGATCTCGGGCCGATCGTGGACAGCACGTGGGGCGCCTGGGCGCAGCCGTGGCAACTGCTGACCTTCAAGGAAGGCAGCATTCAGCGGCGGTTCCAGGTGTGTCGCAACACGGACTGCGAGTCCGGCGGCCCCGTGGGGGAGGACGAGGGGTTCTATCTCCGGGATCTGAGCGGCTCGCCGAAGTCGCAGCGCCATCCCGCCTTCCTGGCCTTTTTAGATCTCGGGGCGCAGAGCCAGCTCTGGCCCTACGCCAACGACAACCTGGGCCGGCTGGCGGTCTTCCAGGGCGCGCCCACGGGGAACGCCGTCAGGCTCCGCCTGAAGGAGAGCGCCCACGGATTCAACGGGCTGCATGTCAACTCGAATGGCTGGCCCGGGCATAGCTATGTGTTCACCGATCGGCAGCACAATGGCCTGACCTTGGGGTTCAAACCTGCTTCCTGCTGAAGGCAAAGCTAGACAACTGAGCATCCGCTTGGGGTGAGGAGTGGTGCCTCATCACGTCGCAATCATCGCAGGTGCAGTCAGTCCGCACAGAAAAGGGGGAGACAGATCTAAGCAGTCCGCGCACGGCCAACGAGTGATGTTGGGGAGTGATTTTTGCAGCAAAAGCTATCTTGCCCTATCTGGACTGAAGAGACGTCATGTAGTGCACAAGCACATGGTATTATTATGATACCTCATCAGTGAGTGATGTGCAGTGATCAACGATTGCAGGTAGCATTCACGGGCGGTTTCGATAGTACAAAAGTGAAATTCATTACCTTTTGCTGTAGCTTTGTCTCTATCAATGGAAGTAGCATGACTTAACAGGGGCCATCACAATATAAAAGAGAATTCTGTTTCTTGCACCAAGGTTCCGGTCCGGCTGTTCCGTTGTTCAAAATGTGACTCTGTATGGCCATTCTATGGAGGAGGACTAGTTAGAAGATGCACCTTCTTCTTGGTCAGCTCGTAGTTGATGCCTGAAGTACTACCTTTCTAGGTTTAGTGACTCTGTAGATGCCTGAGAAACTACTACATGTAGTAGGCGGTCGTTTTAAGACGCTCGGACCAGCCACGGCGGGAAGGGGGGAGCATCTTTTTTGTCTCGGCACTGTAGCAGGTTCTCACTTCCCCCTCCTCTCGGCCCGTAATCTGCTTTCGCCCAAAGCTTGCTGAATCCTTGCGAGTGGCAAAAGTTCCAGGATACGGTTCAGCTCTGGCTCTCGCTTCAGCTTTTACAACAGTGGATCCTATCCTCGGGGCTTGAATTGGTTCTTTTTAGTGTAGTCATAACTCATTGGCGTCTCCAGTATAGGTGCGTTGGGGTCCTGATTAGTATAGACTGCTGAAGACGTATTTCGGGGATCACTGAACATACATTGCATTAGACACACACAGTCTAGCCGTCAGGGCAGGGAAGCCTTGAGCGAAGGGGGAGCACAACGAGCTCTTTCCCAACGGCTTGCCATGTCTCACCATCGATGCATCAATCAAAGTAGATATGTTTGGCTTGAGTACGCTCTACTATGCCATTGGAAGCACTTGATTCCACCGCCAACGTTCCGTAGTGGTCCAGTGGCGCGTTGGCATGATACTCCATGCACTGCAATCGTCTGTCAAAGGAGTCTGGTCTTCATTCTATTCTTATCAACGAGTACTGCGCCAGTTAGACAGCCCGCCTAGCTATCCTGCAGGTCCTCGAACACGATTTAATAGGCATGAATCTCAAGACTTCATCATCTCATTGCTGAAGAGGACTCAAACAACCGTGATATGTCCAACCAACCCTTTGCCCCGACAAATTCACCAACACGAAACATCAAAACCCATAAGACCTCACCCTCAACGACCCCGCCGTGCCCCCAATCGTGGCCCCGACACACCTGCCCGGATGCCAGACGGCAAACAACAACACCACGGCGGCGATAGGCGCGAACTCCAAGCACGCAAAGTAGACCTCATGGGTCGCCAGCGTGGCGCCCAGCCCCTGCGCCGTCTCCGCCAACCGGAAGATGGTGCGCAGATACACCAGCAGCGTGGCCAGCCCAAACACCCCACAGAACACGCCATACCGGGGCGGCCCCTCCCCCTTCCGCGCGGCCGTCCAAATCAGCCCCCTCGCGCGGACCAGAAACCCCGCCGCCACGGCAATGAACACCGTCATCGCGAAGACCTGGTACGCCAGCCCGCCCAACAGGATATGGTTGGCGACGGAGGGGTCCTGCCGCCGCGACTCGCGCACGCCGACCAGCACGGCGCCGGCGATCTGCACGACGGTCGAGACGACGTCGGAGGCGATGAAGAACCACAGGATCACCCGGGGCGGTAGGAGGGCGTGCTGCCGGCCGAGGAGCCGGATCAGCCCGGACAGGATGGTGTAGATCCCCGCGGCCAGGAACACGGGCGCCGTGACGATGAAGAAGTAGTTGAGCACGAAGTAGATCAGGTTGTACGGGTCCTGGCGCGCGGACAGCGCCCGCGCGATGTACCCGACGATCTCGAAGACCAGGCCCACCGAGAAGGGGAGCCACCACCAGCTGCGGTGGCGGATCGTCTGGACGGTGTGCGCGACCAGATGCACGAAGAACCAGGTGGCCGCGAAGGCGGCGAGCGCGAGCGAGGGCGTGTAGCCGTAGATGATGATCGAGGTGTCGTTGGGCCCGTTGGGGTTGGGGAAGTTGGGGTCGATGTAGCCGAAGGATCGCGCTTTTTGGGACTCTTAGTTAGGGCTTGGGTTTGGAGGGTGTTGGGATGTGAGTTTGGCCCCGGGAGGGGGGGGGGGGAAATCGGTACAGTACCTGTGATATGCGGGTGGGAGCGCGCCATGAGTAATCAGCTGGGGCGCGGTATTCGCCTGCGTTCAGTCACTTTGCATGTTCGCGATAAGGGGGCAGGTGAGGGCTGTTATAAGGTGTTTGGGCGGGACTACCGCCAAGCGATCTACTCGTCTTGTGGAGAGACGTGTTCGTGGAGTGTCCTGGTGGGTGGGTATAAATGGCTGCAACAGAACTGGTCATGCCAATGCGCGCCCAGGACCTCGCTTAGACCGGTCCTGGCTTGGCCTGCGTACACGTGCGAATCCAGGTCCAGATCGTCCGCAGCTCACCTGGCTCGATTCCATCGGCAAAGCAACAAAAAGCCAAAGGCCCTCTCGGCTCTTTCAAGGTTCTCGCCCAGAGCTCAGCTCCGCAAACTGTGGGTCTTCATGTTGGCCCTGCGGCTTATCCTCACACTATGTACGGAGTATGTACTCTTAGGGTTGTCCCCATGCGGGGAACGTCAACTGGTCAACAGGTCGCACGAGCCTCAAAAAGCCCTTCCTCCTTCCATGAGCGGATCAGAACATACAGACTATCACAACAAAGATCCCTAACGGAAACATGAGTCCCGGAATCTCCTCCTTTTCTCTGCCCGCGACATGCTAAAGGGGAGCGGTACGTCATCGAGCGGAAATGCCAATTCCAAGGTTAGCCAAGCCTGCCAAAACCTGGCTTTCCGAGCGATCGAACAATCCATGCGAAATCCCGATCTCCGCCTGCGCCACCCTCGCTAATCGGAACCAGCGGGGGTTGTTCGGTCCAGAATATCAGTAGAAAGTTGTCCTGTTGATTGTCATTTGTCATTTGCTGTGTTTGACACGTTCAGAGCGGACTTTGCTTCATTGGCTGTTTTTCCTCGATCGAATCTACCGTGGTCGATTGGCATTCGCAACTCTATATTAGTACTCAGAGCATGGGAGTATATTCTCGAAATTATGTACACCAAGCACTATCAACACGGACGGTTCATACAAACAAGGCTGTACTGTACTGCATCAGCTGGGTATGGGCGTTTTTGTACGAAGCTTTGCAACACCGGGCACACGCTCATCTATTATATACCAAATGATCCCCCGCCCACAGCTCAAGCAGAGACAGCTTCAGCTCCCGTAGCTCCCGCGCGCAGAGGCGCGTACCTTGTCTCTCGTGCAGCGCACGCACACCGTCGCACTTCGCGCCAGACAACCACCCCCGTGGCTACCATCATGACCACCATGAAACCGAGGTAAGCACCCGCCCTGTTTCTGTGATTAGTCCACGGCTTTTGTTTCGATCTGCCTCTGCCGTACCTACTGGAGGGAAGATACGAGATGGCTGGACTCACCGATTCCAATTACTCTCAACAGCAGCAGCGCTTTCGTGACCGTCCACCGTGTGGGAACCCGCCCCATCGCCCTCAACCACCGCTGGCGCGGAAGAAGGGACCGCATCATCGACCTCGACACCCGGTCCCGACAGCAAGGTCTGCCCAGGCGCGCAGGCAGCGAGATGATCTGCCGGGATACGAGTGGAGAGCTGCAACCGTTCCTGGAGGGCCAGCGGGGCTTCGACGAGGGTGAGCACGAGACCCGAGTACGCGTGCCATTCCATGTGGCAGTGGAAGATCCAGACGCCTAATACGAGCAGTAAGCACCACAGGAGCTTTTTTTCTGTTTTCGTTTCCAGCAAACCAAAACAAAACAAGAGAAGCAACACTGACCAGGATTCGTCGATCGGAACCGAAGCACCAGATTCCCACCGGGATGGACAATGGCCGTGTCGCGCCGGATGGGAACCCTGGGAAAATCCGCCTCGGTCGCTCCGGTGTCCGCGAAACTGCCATTCCCGGCCTCGGAGCGGTAGACCACCTGGAAGTTATGACCGTGCAGGTGGAACGGGTGGCGGCTCATGTGGCCGTTGTTGACCACCAGTTCCACGGTCTGGTTCTCGGCGAGGATGAAGGTGTTGGTGGATCGGTTGTAGGCTGTAGCGTCGGTGGAAAGAGATCCAGCTTCGAGGGCGTGGTATAAGGTCGGGTAGTCGGGCGGGGTGTAGGCAATGTCGTTGAAGGTCCAGCTGTTCATGGGGTTTTGGAGGTTGGATAAGTTGGTTTCGTGTGTGGGTTGAGAGCGCTAGGGCGGAGGGCGGAGGGGAGGAGAGGTAACATACTGGCTTTTTCCATCCCCAAGTCGAGCCGTTCCCATGTTCAGAGTGATGCTTTGATCTGGTGAGGTGAAGAGTGGCTCCGAATCATACGGTTCCAGGGTAATGTCGTCGATTGCTTGGGAGATGTCGATGTCTGCGGATGGTTCGTCGAGTGGCAGGCGCTGATCGTAGACTAACCACCCGGTAACGGTGACTTGAGGTCGCGAGTGGGCCATCATAATCAACGTCTTGCAGAAGCAGATCAGCAACGGACCCCGCATCTACTGTCCACGTGAGGCATACCTTGTCCATGGTCACGGTAATAGCGTAATTGCGACTGGCATTGTCCTTGCCCTCGATCAGAACCCCGTATCGCTGACCCGCAGCGATGTAGATAGTCCGTGCTTGTGCGCGCTTCGTGTAGACACCATCCACTTCCACAATCGTCATCTCGTGGTCCTCAATTGAGACATATTGTCCCATGAAGCCGCCGATATTCGCAATTCGAACATGATATTTCTCGCTCGGTCGAACCGGAATTTGGAGGTTCTGAGTGTCGTTAATCAAGTTTGAGTCCGGTGTAGGATCATGAAGCATAGACTGATGGAGATAGTGTGGCATCATCTCCGGCATCTGCTCGTGATACCAATCCGAGATCGAGAATACAATCTCCTCATTATACTCATCATGGTATGGGAAGGCCGCATCATGCACGACCAAGAGACCACGGAGCCCATCCGGGTACTGTGACTCGGCATGGGCATGGTACCAGTACGTTCCTGGCTGGTTGACCTGTTGATTTTACTTAGACGATTGTTTGTTCGCGCCAATGAATACGGAAGCTCGCTCTAACCTGAAACCTATATTGGAAATTGGATCCCGGTTGAATGGCGCACTGGGAGACCTGGGCAGTCCCATCCATGTGCGGGGTGCCCTCCATGAAGATGCCGTGAAAGTGTAGAGCCGTGGACTGATTGCCCAGCGAGTTGAGCACATTCACAACTATAGTGTCCCCTAGGTCGGCTTGGATCTGCGGCAGCGGCCAGGCATCATTGATGCCAATTGTCGGTCGTACTCTGGCACCATCTGGGTTGGCGAGGACCCAGGTAACGTTGAAATCATATTCGACTGTTTTGGAGAGAACAGTAGTGACGATTGTCAGTAGGCCGAGAAGGCGTGCCGGAGACAGCATAGCCTGTTGCATCAGAAGTGGCAATCAGGAGTTCCTTCTTCGCAAAGGTGAACTCGCGAACATAAATGCGTGGAGTTGATAGCGGTGAATGCCGGCCTGGAAGGTAAAGGGTAAGCATTCAGTGTCAACGGCTCTTTAGGGGATCAGGCAATCTGTTATCGGCCCCATTCTCTATCCGGGCATAACATTATGCCCACAGCCAGACCGGCAACAAACGGCTGTACTTCCGAGGCTTGTGTTCCTGAGGTCTTGCTTCCTATCATATCAAAGTGAATATGGCATAAGGGATGAGTGAATCATTTATCCTATGGTAGGACCGGAATTGAGGAATTGAATCGCAGGTTCCAAAACAACCTCAGTCCTACACGTGATCTAGCATAACCAACAATGCTGATTCAGCAAAGGACGGTGATCACGTGACTATAAAATGTTCAAGCAAATGAAGACAAGGAACATCTGCACATGATTATAAGCTTACCTCTTCCCAACAGAGAGTCTTGAGCAAAGGGAGCGGGTGTGACATCTGTCAGGACTAAACCATCGAATGTGCATGGAAATCGACCGTCCGCGAGAGTCGATTCCCGGCTGAGCGGGTTTGACAACGCCCATAGCAAATCCCAATCCCAATCATAGCCGATATCACACTGGGGCGCATTGCTTGTGGTATTGTTACGGCCGAGAAAGAGCTTCTCGAAAAAGACCTCCAGAGCCGTGACAGACTTTGTCGCCGAGTTGGCTAACACATCGTATAATTTTAAGACTCGGAGAGCCGTGTGCCACGTACGATAATCCTTGGAGTCCGCGGTGGAACCATCCTTGGCCTCCAGAAAGCGCTCCACGAGGATCATCATGGTAGCGTTGTAGACATCTTGAGGATCGCCGGAGGGATCGCCGTCTTGTTAACACCTGTGATACGGAGAAGCAGAGGAGGTTTGCAAAAGACATGGAAAATCCTTACAGAGAACCGAATACCACCAGTTTGGCCGGGGGCCAAGCATGGTATCCGTGTTAAGGTGTGCGGTAGCTTGGCCCACCAGTTCGTGCGCAAGGCGGAGCCAGATATGTGAGCACTCGCCACATCGTTTCGGAGAGAATCGATTCATCAATTGAAGGAAGAAGGATAAGTCACTTTCGGGGTTCCAGTTTTACGACGTGGTCTTCTAGCAGAAATTCACCTGGGCCAGCCCCATCACATTTTACCCATACTTTCCGGCGGCGCACACGCGTTGGGGATCTTCAACCGTCTCCGGCTAGCAAGATTTGACAGTGTATATATGCGCTTCCGAGCTAAGTCTTGAGGGTCCATTTCGCTCTCTACCCCTTGTTGATTCAGTGACAAGCTTTTGTGCAGGGTCGGACATGGCCTCAAAAGTGATGCCGTCAATCAAGGGTCAATCAATCCTTGGGTTTTGAGGTCACGTGGAGTCCGAACGACTGTGAGACTCTGAGCAATCACCTGGCTTCTCAATCGAATTGACCGACAGAAAATATCCCGCAATAATAATGCGAGGTGCAGTCCAGCACTGGGCATACTAGGTACCTTGACTCCCTAATACTTTGTTGTGTTCGCTGTACTTGATTACTGTGGGCTTGGCGGAGCGCCCTACGATCCGTTGGTCACCTTACCTGAAGTCATCCATACTAAGTTACTACCTTACGAGTATTTACTAACCCACCTTGAAGGGATAACTCAGATACTGCCAGGTAATACTACGTAGGTAGTATGGAACAACATGAAACGACCTCGAAATATTCTACGTACTCGTGAGTTTCGTTGTATGGTCAATTCTAGATGAAAAAGCTGATGATGTTGCCAGTGGCACTCCGTACCACCCAACTACGGAAGACCTTTCACGCCCTACCCCACCCCATTCCAATTCAGTCCCATCAAGAACCTTCAATCCGCACCACCAGAGATTGTTGCGGAGTTTCTCCCGAGCATCGCCTGCTGCTGCTCCTCCGCCAAGACAACGCCGAACCGCTCGCGTACTTAACACCTCGACTCCTTCCGCCTCGGTCACGCACGTCTGGACCAGCACGGACTTACCCCCCGTGTTCACCTTGACCTTGTTCTGGTCCAGAACCACCTTCCCGTAGATGTGACTGTCGCGGGCGAGGAATCGAATGGCCAAGACGCGCGTGGTGAGAAAGCTGCCCGGAAACTGGCTGGTGTAGAAATTCATGACCTCGAGGTCGCGCGGGTGGAACTCGAGGTCGGAGAAGGCATAGCACGGTCGCCAGGCTCGATCGGCGCCGTTGCGGATCTGATACGTCCAGAGCTTCTGGTCCGGTCGACTGGAGAAGCTCGGGACGGACTCATAATCATCAAACTAGAACTACTAGTTAGTATTGGTGAAGTTAGTCCTCAATCAGAACAGGGCACCTAAAGGTTATAGAAAGACAGTCTTAGAAGTAGGTATTCACAAGATTCGACCCCTGTTCCATATTTTATATAACTATGTATAAATAAATAGCTGTGGTGTTCTCCTGATACCATTTGTATACCTTAGTAGTCTCGTATACCTTAGTCTTCGATAATAGACAGGTCATCAAGTAATATATTCAAGCTTGCTGATCCTGAAATATACCTTAAACTGCTTACTCGCTGGAATTCTTGGGGGTGGTTAGGTAAAAGCGGCCATGAACGTTGTAGTTTTTCAGACAGTTCTGTAAGAAAAAGTGGTTAACAGTGTAGCAAGTCAACAGTCACACATATTAAGAAATATTGATGTTCTAACTTAACGAGTAGCTTTTGTGTAGTGGTTAAGCAGTTCTCAACGCGGCGGGGACTCAGAAAGAAGACACGGTAGCGGTCATCGGGCTGGGAGGTGTTGGCTTGAGGGCCGTATTGGGTGCGCGCATCGCCGGCTGTAAGACAATCATTGGGATTGCGCACAACGAGGCCCGGCTCAAATTAGCGCTCGAGCTCGGTGCAACGCATGTTGTTCGACTTGACGCCGATGCGGGCATCAGCCAGGTGACGCAGGCTGTTCGAGGGGCTCACTGGCGGATTGGGTGCCGATGTCACGTTGGACACCAGCGGTGTGCCGGACTTGGTCGCCGAGGGAGTTCGTATGACAGCTAACAAGGGAAAGATCACTCAGCTGGGGACAGCACCTGAAACTGCAACCCTAAATCTCCGCTCATGGGTGTCGTTGAGGGGGATGTGATTCCTAGGGAGTTTGTACCCAAGATGATCGATTGGGTCAAGAATGGTCTTTTTCTCTTGCATAAATGGCTGGTTTTTATCAAGCGGAGGATTTTGAAGCGGCGTTTCGAGACATGAAGATTGGGAAGCCCATGAGTTATTTGTACACCTGCGTGGTGTAACAGAAGATCTGAACTCTCAAAATCAACCCTCACGGGCTGTAGGTATCGTGAGATAGATCGCTGCAGATATCATGTCCATGTGAGCTATTCGAATATGACATGATGGTAGTGTTGAGAATGGAGATAGAATTATTAGGCAGAGGATGCAGACAAGAAACTGAAAAGGGGAATTTAATCGGCTGTGGCCGATATAAGTGACCTCTATTCATCGAACCGACATACATCGACCCAATCAGATTACTTACCGAGGTCTATCAAAGCGAGCGAGCTCCTCAAGGCGGTAGACGGACGATAGCGAAGTTTCCATTGTGCATGACTAGTCTGAAACACAGAGTTATCAACCAACCTAGAAATGAAAGTATCTGATCCCCGCCAGAATGGGCTTACGGTCAGTGTTCACTCACATGATTTTCGGCAAGACCTATACTGATTCCATACAGAGAAGAGAGGTCCCCAGGTCAGCCTGCGCGGCACTTAGAACTTCCGGAAGAATATGCCACAATGCTCGAGGGAGTCGTAGCCAACAAAAGTTCTGAATGACGTCCAAACAACTAGAATTTGGAAGAATTGGTTGGATTAACGGCGATTTCTCTAGATTAGGTATGGAACTTGACATGGGAAATAGTACGCTACAGTTGATATCCACGATTCTTTTTTCTATGTCCTACCAGGACACACAATGCACAAAATATCAACCATCTCTCGACAATTTCATAGGTATGTATCCTTTAAACCCTGATCATTGAGTTCCGCAAGTGGTAAGTTGGCGAGAATGTGATCATCAAATAAATCCAAGTCAAAATCATGCATCGCTGGAGAGTCCAAGCCAAGTAAGACAGCCACCACATGGTGACCCACCTTCGGTGAAGACCCTGAGAAGCGATAATTAAATGACATCACACCAGGTCTTTTGTCTTATAAGTATGCCATACTCAGGGTGACATGAAAGATAGCAGAAGCTACAAACATTGCGAGGATTCAATGACAATTATCAGTAACCGAAGCCTCAGTCAAACGTTCAATATGTCGCTCAAGGGAAGAACAGCTCTTGTGGTCAGCATGAAATCTCCTTATCGATGAATATCTCCAATACTAATTCCTCTACCACAGACCGGTGCATCAATGGGCATCGGAGAACACATTGCAGCTTCTTTGGCCGAGGCGGGGGCCAATTTGATTCTTTTCTCACGGTCAGAGGTTAGTCCAGTTGTCGACCATCATGTCACAATGATTTGACACGCTCACGCATTGAAAAGGAAAAACTAGAGCAACTCAGGGAAAAGCTGTCTGAGAGTACCTCTAGCAAAGTCATTTTCCGGACCGTCGATGTTGGGAATCTTGAGAGTGTTAATAATGCTGTATCATCTTGCGCGAGAGAGATGGGAGGAATTGACATTCTTGTCAACAACGTGAGACTCCTTAGAACAATCTCGCAAGCGGATCTTGCTTACATTCATCATTCAGGCTGGTTTAGCTCTTGGTGCTCCGAATCCATTCTATAACTTGAAGCCAGATCAAATTTTGACAATGAATAACACAAACGTGAATGGCCTCATGTTTGTCTCGCATACGGTGCTCAACCACGCTATGCTGTCCCAAAATGCGGGCACAATTTTGAACGTGACTTCGATCACTGGACTTGAGGTCCCGCCATTCCCGGGCGAGGCTGTGTATCATGCGAACAAAGCCTGCCAGGAAGCCTTCACCAACGCAATGCGCAATGAGTTGAACGGGACCAATATTCGTGTACTTGCCATACGACCGGGATGCGTAGCGACAAACTTCCACTCTCAGCGTGTGGGTCATGACAAGCGGATGTACGACCAGTTCTTTGAGGGATTCGAGTACGGGACCCCTACCCCTGTGCTACTGACCGATACTAACACTGTTTCCCAGGCCACTCATTGCACCAGATATTGCGAGAGCGGTGGTATTCATGCTCGAACAGCCACTCAATGTTTCAATCAAGGTACTTGATGTTGTTCCGTCGGGTAAGAGGATCCTTTTTTTGGTGCTTGGCTGTTCAGCTTCTGACAGGTTTATAGCGCAACGCTCAATCGCTGTCTTTGACCGCAAGTGGGATGAGCGACAGAAGTAGGAAGAAAGCGCATTGAAATTCGATGATATGACGTATCTGTGTGCGGGGATCCCGTAATTGAGTCGAAATATATTGGCTATGGAAACGAATGTACCCGTGTCAGTTATGCCTGAGGCATCAAAAATGAGAAAACCTCGCTTCGGTAGATTCGGTTCCCGCCGCTTGAACCTCGCCGAGGTAGAAGTATCTGCCCATCGACATCGTTAAGTAATATGACTGGAGGTAGTCCCATTCGCCGAAGACTTCGCGCTACCACTGGCTGGTAAGTTCTCAGCATCTTGCACTGTGATCTGCGATTGACCAACCCAGCAAAACGTGTCGTTTGCGTCGAGTGAAATGTGATGAGGGACGGCCGACCTGCCGGAACTGCGCAAAAAAGAACCGGGCATGCAGGTATGAGGATAATGGCACTAGGAGCCGTTCCTCCAGTCGTACAGATGATGTTTCTGCGCCTCAATTCAACAGAACTGTAAATTCGAGATCATCACCCGATACAAGTAATGAGACACCAGCACTAGTATGCACTGGTTCTACAACATTGACGGTCTTGAAGCTGATTGCAAATTTGAAGTCTCCCGCTGATTATGCCTACCAGATAAATGGTACCCCTGGTGTTGAGATCACTAATAATGATCGACCGTCTGCTCAGAAGTCTTCAACTACAAACGAAGCCGAAGCAGCATCTTTTCCAAGCCCCAACTTGTCAACAACTGATTTGGCGTCTGTCTTTCCTCGCACTGACCAAACGCCACGCCCAACCACTTGGAACGCGTTCCCGCCCGGACATCTAGGCCCTGTACACGACCATCAAAACACGGTCGATTGTGGACCAAGATGTCTGACAGGCCCTTTGCAATCAAGTGCTTTGTTTTTGAGCGAGCAGATCTGTCTAGCCTCTGCTGAAATACCAATTTTCCGAAATTACGTCGAAAATGTATCACACTGGGTAACTGTCTCTCGTCACGTTTCATCCATGCATACTAGCGCTAAACCAAGGCATAGATTGATTCCTTCTCCCAAGATAAGCCTTTTCATTCTGTGGTCCCTATCATGGCTCTCCATTGCCCAGTGTTGATGAATTCATGCCTGGCGCTGGGAGCCAAGCAATTAGCCTTGAAGGCCCCGGCGAACGAAGCACAGAACGCGAACGAGATTGCTATTCGTTATCATCAACTTGCCATTGAGGCTCTTAGAGCTATAATAATGTCTCCGGCGTTAGCATCCCATGACGCCATTCTTGCCTCGAGTATCATTCTTTCCACGTAACTTCCCCCAGAGCGTATCTAACTCGAAATCCCCAGCACGCTGACGTTGCCTCGAGCAGGTATGAAATGCTCGATGTTGCAGGCGAAACCTTCGGCTCCCATCTCAGTGGCGTCGCATTTTTCCTGCAGGCCCAGAATGTTCATGGCGATTCGTGCAACATCAAAGGCGCAGCGTACTGGACGTGGTACCGGCATGAAATATGAGCTTCCCTTCAGACCGGCCGACGAATGTTTCTCGACGCCACATACTGGGAGCCCAAACCTGTGGATAGCTTCGAGAGCCTCTCAATCGAAGAGATTACGAATCGCGCGATCTTCGTCTTCGGTCAGTGTGTCTCGTTCTGTAATGATGATACTTTTGGAGAAGGCTTTGAACCGGATGCCAAGCGGCGCGCGCGACAAGAACGAGCCGCGGAATTAAAAATAGGCCTGGAAAGCTGGAAAAAAAAACTACCACTATCCACAGCGCATTTCTTGTCCGATAATTCTTCGCCCATAGACAGTTCTACGCCCTTTTCATTTCAATCTCTTTGGTTTTTACACCCACAAGGTGGTAAGCATCATGAAAGGCTCTCAGAAATGTGGGGCAGTGGATAACACCGACCATAGCAATCGCGTTCCAAGTTTATCATGCGTCAAAGATACTGCTCAACTTGCACTTTCCACCTGAACCAGTAGGACACTATCACCTGGAACAGCTTCAACACCTTACAACGCGTCGTTGTATTGAGCAATCACGGAACGAAATCTTTCTCATCTCCAACGCTGGGATACCAGATACATGGAGCTTGATCTCTACACAGTGTCTTTACATAGCAGGTCTGGTGACCGATGGCGTTTTAGAGCGGAATAGAACGCTAGAACTCATAGAAAGATGTCAAGAGAGTTCAGGCCGGCGTACAAAGTGTCTGGCAGATGCACTGCGGCAATTCTGGGCACAATAAGTACGCGTCTGAGAGATTTTGCGCATTGATACCTGCATCATCATAACGGCCTGAAGCTCGACGACCCGTCCAACTGGAGGGCCCCATTTGTAAATACGGGCGATTTGATCGACACCACCTGCGAAGGGAAATTCCATGAGATTCATATGTACACTTTGTGCATGATGAAGCTGTCTGTGCACTCAATTGGCCTGATGTCAGCTTTTTCAAACACAGGCTAAGTGTAAAGGATACCACTCACTTGAGAGAGCTCATGTCATAGATAGTACAGTATATGCCGACTTTTCCGGGCTTTTTTCGTACTTTCTTCAAAGCGTGGTAGCCGAGCTTACCGATCCTGGCTAATAGAGATGGGGGTTATTAATCTTTTGGGCTAAGGTTTCATCCTTTATCTCTTTGCGCGATCAACGGTCGTTCTCAATTTCAATTAGCTTCTCTCTTGCGTGAGGCAGAACACCGGAATGCATACCAGTCGACCGCCTCGAATTGAAATCCCGCCGTCGTCGTCTACTGTGCGGGTGCGCGCAATTGACACTACTACGAACATAATTTGCCACTCTCGAGCATTCCTAGAGCCAGAGATACAAACCCACCCACATCTCAACCTGAAGACTTTCTGCTTCTTGATCGACCACCTCGAATCGGGTAAAAAGGTGCTGTTCGACGCTGGTGCACGCGTTGATCTCGAAAACCTCCCGCCGAAAGTTAGAGATGGAATTGCTGGTAAAGTCAAATCTGTCCAAGTCACTAGTGGGGTAGAAGATATTCTTCAGAGCGCTGGGATTAGTCCTGCAGCCATTCGTGAGCGAATTCACTCAGTTATTTCATCTTGGTGGCTGCTGCTGACACTGCAGCTCAGACACGGTTGTATGGAGCCATTGGCATTGGGACCATATCGGCGACATCTCGAAGTTCCCGCCGACTACCACCCTGGTTGTCGGCCCAAGCTTTAGGCAGGAATTTACAGTGGGATGGCCAGAAGACCCCGATGGCGTGCTTCGAACAAGCGATCTTTCGTATGTTGCCTCTGAGATCATCTTCAAACAGCGTCTAATCGCACCGAAACAGGTCTCATAGCATCAGAGAGATATCTTTCGAATCATCGTTCCAGATTGGTGACTTCAAGGCTCATGATTTCTTCGGCGATGGATCTTTTTATCTCTTAAGCCTACCAGGGGTACGTTCCAGCCACATATGCCGACGCAATTCGGTAGCTGACTTCGACCTGTAGCATGCAATTGGACATCTAGGAGCCCTCTGCCGCACGAGCCCTGAGACGTTCATTCTTCTCGGTGCCGACGCCTGTCATTTTCTCGGGGCAATGCGTCCCACAACTCACCACCCTCTGTCCGACGAGTTCCTAGAACCTGCACAATTGCGAAAGGTTTCATCGTGTCTCTGCAGCCTATTTACCCGCTCTCATTCCAGAACAGCTCCCGGTGAAGAATCTGAAAATATGAGTGACGAACTGGCGCGGCGAACCCCATTTTACGGCATCAGCCGACACCCGGACAGCGTCTTCATGGCCCCTGATGTAGCGCAACGTACAGTACAGTCTTTGCAGGCCTTTGATGCTGACCAAAACATGTTTCTTTGCTTTGCGCATGACGGTGGCTTGGCTCACGTGGTGCCATTACTAAATAATGAACCTGACGCTGATCTCAATTCATGGAAGTCATTGGGATACAAGCAGGCAGGGATGTGGCAATTCCTGGAGGATCTCTGGCCCTCTTCTATTTAGTTGTCTACCCGGATACGGGGACCTGGCTCGATTCAATCCTTCAGAAGCTAGCATTATGATGGCAATCAAAAATTGTGTCGACAGAACATCAGTCTTGTGTTTCGTTGGCCTGTGGAGTCTTTGTAACCCTGCAATATTAAGAAAGGTACTCCGAGCAAAAGAGATAGCATCGTTAGAATCTTTTGCCTTGATGGCTGGACATTGGTTGCGGTAGGGGAGTACCCTGTCGATATACCTGTCCTTCCTCTGGCAGATCCAAACACCACACTAGAAAGCCGGAAAAGTCGACCTCGCTCCCGACGGCGATTGGTTGAAATTGTAGCTTGAATCCACTGCCCGCTAAGTTGTGGGTCGAAAGGGTCTTCGGCAGTGCAGCACGGGTAGCGGGCCCGCTGTATGAAATCATAAGAAACAGAGCTCGAACCGAATCTTCTTGTCATCTTTCTCGTTATGCGCTATGATTCGCTTTGCAGGTTGGGACAATACTAGGTCCACTCGTGGAGGACTACCGAATGGTCCCTTATCCCATTGAGTCTCTTCAGAACCTCGACTCGAGAGATTCGCTTAAACAAGAGTCTGCTGAAGCCAGTCTAATTGGGGACTCTGGGTGTCGGAAAAATGGCTGCTAGAGCTGGGATTTTTAAAAGTAAACACGAGGCCAAGCCACCAAGGAGGTTGTACCTGTGTTTTATCGCGTTAACCGTGCTGAAATTGCAGGTCAGCCTAAAATCGTCTATATTAATTCGCCACCCGCCATGATTAGGAACTTGTGTGTGCCATGTCAATTGCACGTATTGCTGCTATCTATATACAGAACCAGGGTCTTGGGAAAAAAAGGCCCTTCTCAGTACAAGGTCAGGAAAATAATCATGACCTCCACTCCTGTGACGCCAGTTCCCGCAAGTCTTGGATAATATCTTCCGGACTCTCCAACGCGGCAAAATGGCCACCCTGGTTGTGCTCTGGTTGACGGTCAGTGTACAGTCAGCCCCGATATTCCAATGCCAATGTAGTTAGCCAAGCTTGATAACAGACCTTTGTAGTAGACCAAGTTTCCGGTTCTCTCCACCGCCCGCTTTGAGGAGGGCTCTGTATCCCAGAAAAACGAACTGTAGCCGAACGGCGCCTGGATGTGATTGTGGGGATCAAGGTTGAACTTGGCAAAGTTCTCATGGCAAACATTATCATAGTAACACAGCATCGAGGGCATAATGCAGCCCGTAAAATAGTACAGGGAGGCAGTTACCAGAATAGCCCCATGCCAGCTTTCTTGCTCTTGCTTGTCGGGGTCGGCAGCTTCAATGTACTTCTCGCCCACCCACATGAGAATACCCATGGGGTTGTCATTCAGTGCTATGCCGATTGTATGGGGCTAAGACGAACAGAAGGATATTTTCAGTTTTAATCGGTCTAGGCAATTTGAAGAGCGGGGAAAACACACAACTCACCCTAGTCCGCATACAAACTGCATAGCCGAGATGATTCTCGACCCAATCGTCGACTCTAGCCGCAACTGCATCCTCGCGCTCCGTGGGCTCGACATGTTCCGGAAGCGCGCTTGGAGCGAAGTTGAAGTGGACCAGCTTGCAAGAATCGGTATACCTTGCACCAAGTTCTCTACCGACGAAATGTCCCCAGTCACCGCACTGCACCATGTACTGGGAGTACCCCAGCTTGCGCATGAGCTTGTCGAACAGTCTCGCGGTATCCTGGAGCGTCCAGCCTGCTCGGGGCGGCCAGTCTGACCAGCAGAAGCCCGGCAAGCTCGGAACAACGACGTGGAAGGCCTGGTCACCCGTGTCTGCGGGTCTCGCCAGTGGACCCCAGACTCTGCTGAATTCGTAGAAGGAACCCGGCCATCCGTGCACGAGCAAGAGGGGTATTGCATTCGACACTTCACTACGGGCATGTAGGAAATGGATTCCGACTTGCTCGATCGTGGCTATGTAATGGGGGTATCCGTTCAACTCCTCTTGCACACTGAACCAGTCAAAGTCTGAGGTCCATTTTGCGAGCAAACTCTCGGCCCATTCAAAGGGTGGTCCTTGCGAGAGTCAATATTCGAATAGGAGTACGATCCGGGTAGTTGCTCGCAACAGATGGGTCAGGATTCTACTCACCATATCGATCCCCAGCAGAGGGCACAATCTCGCGAGCCGGAAGCCGTGTGTCGCGCAACTTTCTTTGAAGTCTGTCCACCTCCCCTCTGGGAATATCGATCTTGAAGTCTTTAATTTTAATGTCTGACATATTTATGTTTTCTAGATCGACGTGCAGACTGGGATGCGTTGAAATGCTGGGATCCTGGGATGGGTGAGTCTCTATAAATGGTCTCCACGAATTGACTTGACGTAACTTGACGTTTCCCTGTATGGATGACTAAAACACCTGATTCCTTGGTGGACGCACCCGCCACATTCCCAAGTAGGAAAGTCAAGCCACTATTTCCGGATGCGGATATCGTGTTACTCGGAGCCCTGTATTGCGTACGTATTCACGCGCAATAAGTGTGTAGCTTGAGATAGGGTAAACCCCTTCATTAGCTAAAGTATATTAGCTGCCGTGCCTAGCGCAAAGGGGTCGCATCTATGAACATGTAACCAATATTGGTTGCATCCAGGTTGCAGAAAGAATCGCGGCTAGGGCCAACAAGAGCTCCAATTGATAAATCGATTCTCGCACTTCGAACAGCCCCTCTCCAAAAAGACCTTTTTTTTTGCATTGACAGTTGTCCTAGCAGAACTACTAGTAATATTTGAGGGGTGATATATCTGCATGGTTAGGATGCACAGACCACGTGGAGCAGCCAGCTGGTAAGCTACATGTCATGATTCAGTCGACGTGCTTATGTATAGTTCAAGGGCATCATGCCTCGTTTTTCTGGTGAGTACTATCATTTCTGGGGGGCGTGAGCCGCACGGGAGGGGCACAATATGTTGAGCTAAACAGCTTACCTCTTTCCTTCGATGTTGTCACGCTGTATTGGACTGTATTTCCTCCATGCCTTCATACGCCCACTGGAATCGATTTTTCATTCCATGCTTCCCTGTGCCAATGAGTTCATGACGTTCCTGACGTGCCGGCTGTTGGCAGCTTTCACGAGGGGTTGTGGATCAATATTGGACAATACCCCGAGAATCGTATAGTGGGCTGTCTCGGAAGCGACGCCAAATCTCTGAGCATTATACCTGAAGGCTTACTATGAAAATGAAACTGAGATGATAGTAATAAAAGGAGGGTTTCAGAATCCGTGTAGAATGATACATGACAAGATGACGATTTCTGACGATAGCCCGCACCGTCCGTTCAATTTTTCAAGAGTGAGTTCCGATATCTTCTGCAATCTAGAACCACAGCACTTGCGCTAACACCTGAAATGTTTCTTTAGAAACGCATGCTTCACATTGTTGTCGCCGGAACGTATTTTGTCTTAAACAGCGAATTAGGCTCATCAATTGCATCTGGGGCAAACCATGAAATTGCTGATCAGTTTTCCCTAGCACGAGATGGCCTTGTAAGTGTCCTCGTCATATCCTTACATATGGCAGGATCTGCAATCGGACCTCTTCTGTTCGGTCTTTTGAGCGAGTGCAACGGCCGCAAATCGGTGCTTGTTACCACACACCTTGATCTATCTTATGTTTACCATAGGCTGTTCATGAGCATCCACTTCTGCACAACTTCTTACGGTCCGCTTCTTGGTACCATGCAAGAGACCTACCTACCACGTCTAGTGCAACGAGAGAACAAGTCCGCAAGCGATCGAACCGACCTGGTTTCCTCACTAGGCCACGGTGGCAAGTACCCTTACGCGCTAAATAGTCTCTTGACAGCGAGCAGAGTCCTTAGCCGGTCTATCAACACGTGCTTTCAAGGACCAATCGTTTTACGACAAGCGCAGCTCCTGGATGTCCAAGTTGGGAAGCGTCACGCCGGTGACTGCCAAGGGCACGGGAAAGATGGAGCCATCGTCGCCGTAGCCCACGTCCACCAGGTACTGGGTTTGGTCGGACAGAGTGACGATGTTCACTGCGTGTTCCCTATTGGTCGGGATGATCAGTCAAATTGACAATTTATCCGAGAGAAAGATGGCGGCGGGAGAGGGCATGAATTATCATCCTGACTACCCTGGCGCGGAAGTGGTTGCGTCTCGGTGGAGGCGAGCGCCGGTGAGATGCACCTGGAACCCTAAGAAGCGCAGCACATGACAGAGAAAGCGGTTGTGCTCCATGCAGTAGCCCCCGCGTCCCGCCACGACGAACTTATGGTAGATGTCGGTGACGTCCAGCGAGATCCGCGGCGCTTTGCTGTAATGCAGCTCCAGGTTCTCATATGGAATTTGTGATAGGTGATGGGCTTGGATGATGGAGAAGGTTTCGAGGTCAGGTTGGGCGTTTCGCATTGGAAGATCCCGCATAGGCAATTCAACATGAGCGAAGTATTGCTAGACCTGCTCAAGGTTAAGCGCCGAGCTCGAATTTATCATTCCAAAGACAGTTCGTGTAGCAGCAGACTAGAATCGGGGAGTGTACTTTCGCGCTAAGTGCTTGATAGAATACCTAGTGGCCCCCCTTTATACTCTCTTTTCTTACAGGCATGGCTTTCGAAGCTTTGGGCTCATTTGCCTATTTTGTGATTAGCTTATTCTTCCTTAAGCAGGTCCATCCGAATACCCCTGACCAAATTCGTTGACCGTTCTGGGCACCCTCATGACCTTTGGCCATCATAACTAACCACCGCCGAATGAATACATCATGCCATTAATAATGCTCTTCATTACGCAAGATAGGCCACCAAAGAAGATGAATATGGCCTGTGAACGAGTATGAGTCTAAAACAAGAAGTTGGGCTGTTGCAAGGACTTCCTCGGTAGCAGTACAAACTCCTCGTTTGTGTCCTGGATACGGGACCTGACTAACTGTTATCTTGTACATAGAGGTCACTTGAGTAAAGCCACTGTGACACTTTTGTTATTACAGGCCGGATAATTTGCGTCATTGTGGACTGTATCTCGATACGGGATCTCACTCGTATCAGAAATTGACAATCCATGTCAATCCTAGGCTCTCCATGGCCAGGGATATAGAGCATAGATTAGACTTCCAGGAAGAAAAGGTTCCCAAAAATATCTCGGATCCGTCTGTGTCAGCACAGCATAGAGTGACGAAAACGTGGAAAGCCACGGATCTTGATGCTACCATGCTAATCCATGTAACGAGTGATCCCAATAGTATTGCTGGGTCGTTGCTTTTTGCGGTCGTGTTAGGGTTACACGGGGCGTATGGGGCGTGCCGGGCCTGGTGAGCCGGGCAGTCGGGTTCCCAATGGTCTTCGTAGCACACAGGACACATCGTTTGTGCGATTCACATGTGTTCCTCAGATCCACACTGGAAAGAATATATTATGTGTCAATATATTATATCAGGTACATATCTCATAGGTACCCTTTGGGAGCTGTGATTGCGTAGGTTCTTTCAAATCTAGTAGGTAGTTTGTGTTCTGCCGTCCTTTGCTTTAGGTTTGTGCCTAGGTGAAATAAGTTTCATAAGCGAAGAGCTCGCGGACAGGTCAATGCAGTGGACTCACGTATTCCTGCCTGTTGCCTATGTTGCTTAGATCCATACGAGCTCAGGTGATTGATAGGATTGCCCTGCATGGATTGTCACCGGATTCTGCTTTGAGCGGAGCCCCGGTCCAGCCCCCAACACTCTCCGCTAGATTGTGATAAGGCCTGAACGCTTACTATTCCCCCCTTTTCTTAAAAAGAATCAAAGATATTAGTTCGACGGTTGTTTCCGTTGAGATGGCTTCGATGATGTTGATTAGGGGAAAGCGAAACCAGTCTAAGGGCCATACAAAATGTCTAGAGGGGCTTCATTCAATGCGTCTATCCTAAAAGCAGACTTTTGCAGGAACACAATCTTAAAATCAAGATACCATCCCTGGAACAAACTTTCTTGGAGCTTCTGTGATGACAATGACTGCATCTGACTCACGTCACGATCTTTCGAGAAGGACTTTGGCAAGGATCCCATCGGGCGCATTATACGAGACCTCGGTTGGCCCTTCTGCTCAGACCTGGAAAGCCCGGACAGGCGCCTAATCCGGGATACATAAGAATAAATTGTCAGGCTTTGGTGCAGGTTCAACGAGTTTCCCTCTCCAGCACTCATGTAATATCAACATGTTCTTACAAACCTACATCGTCAACATCATAACATTTTTCGGCTTCCAGCCGAGCTTCCCTTTGTTCCGTGGACCATATGAACCAGAATCACCCCAATTCCCAATTGGACCAGGCGCTCTATCGTTTGTGCCTCCGGGCGCTGCTGAGAATGAGACTGCCCATGGCCCCTTCAAGTGCCATTATCCGGCTATGGCCGCCGAGTACACCTACGATCCCTCGCCTAACAATCGAGGTGTGTGGCTGAAACATCGGACCGATGCTTCTAAGGACTTTACCATCCACACGGACTATGAAGTTAGAGCTCCCATTGGGATTGAGCGCAAAGTAAGTATCCTCTGCCAGCTTCACAATGCAGTACGATGGTAAACAACCCTAGTACTTTCTCACTGTGGGCGAAGATACGAAGCGTCCTGTGAATTGGGATGGTATCAACTTTCCATATGCCAAGCTGTTTGACAAGAGTTTTCCGGGGCCTTGGATACGTGAGTATCGATGGTTTCTACGAGATTATCGGTGGAAGCTGATACTAATCTACGGACAGAGGCATGTTGGGGCGATATAGTGAGTAAGTATCAAAGCCATCAAAGATATCCCTTCACTTACTGAGTAAAATTGTCTCTAGACATCACTGTTAAGAACAATCTCTCGAAGAACGGGACTGCGATTCATATGCATGGCATTCGACAATTCGGATCTACCCTCATGGATGGCGTTCCTGGAATCACTCAATGCCCCATTGCGCCCGGGGACACCTTCAGCTACGTGTTCAACACGACCCAGTACGGGTCCACCTGGTATCACAGCCATTACAGTCTGCAGTACTCAGACGGCCTGCTGGGTCCGATGACGATTCATGGTCCCACGTCCGCCAACTTTGACAGCGCCCTGGATCCGATCCTCATCTCTGACCACAATCACCGCAGTGCATTTATGGACTACTACCAGGAGCAATTCGCGAATCCTGCCGCTGATCCGCCGCGTGTGCCTCCGAAACAGACTAGTATTCTGATCAATGGGCAGGGTATGTCACTTTCCTCCCTTGAGGCACAGACGAATCAAATTCTGACATGTCATTGGATCAGGGAGTTATGCCGGATCTTTCCCCAAGAACCGATATCACAAGAAGGTGAAGCCCGGAAAACGATACATCCTGCGGCTAATCAACGCATCCACGGATAGCACCTTCATTTTCAGTATCGATGGCCACAATCTGACGGTCATCGGGAACGACTTGGTTCCAGTTGAACCGTATACAACGAACCACATCTATATTGGGATCGGTAATGCTCACCCTCAGCATGCCCTTTCTAATGAGCTAGTGCATGCATGGAGAGCCCGCACTGACCGATTCAACAGGCCAGCGCTACCACGTTGTCCTCGAAACCCTAAGCAAGAAGCACATCTCCAGATCCAAAGAGGGCTACTGGATCCGTACCGAGCCCGCGGAGGGATGCCACAACTTCGAGACCTTCCCGGACGACAGACAGGGCATCCTGTGGTACGGGGGTGACGACGACGATAGACCCCCGGTACCGACCACGACGGCCTGGTCGTACAATTCCACCTGCAGCGACATGCTCGATCTGGTTCCCGTCGTCCCGTGGACCATCGAACCACCGGCTACCAGCCTCACCGCAGTCAAGTACCACAGCAACCATGCCCTCCTGGAGGCGTCGGTCACGATCGACACCTGGTTCCTGCCCGCGGAGGGCAACGACGCGGCTGCGACAGTCAACGTATGGCAGTTCCTGAACGACACTGTCTTTGTGAACTACACCGAGCCCACCGTCAACCACCTCGACCCACCCTACGATCCCAATGCCGTTATCTACCTGGCCGAGGAGCCGCCATTGGGCTCTCCCCCGCAAACATCCACCTGGAACTATATGATCTTGATCGGGGGCAACCTGGACAATCCCAGCCCGGTCTCGGGAGGTCGTCTGGTACCTGTTGCTCATCCGGTAAGCTTCCCTCTCCCTGGCCTGTTAATCATCCCCACCGCCCTCTTCCAATCTCAACACACACTTGAAAAGTTGATGACGCACATCGTAACCCCTGGTGATCCAGATCCACCTCCACGGCCACGACTTCGCCATTCTCCAATATTCCGAGTTCCCCTACGACGGCCCAGAGTCCCTCGATCTCTCCCTGGACAACCCCCGCCGGCGCGACGCCGTCCTCCTCCCCAGCAACGGGTTCATCGTCATTGCCTTCAAGACCGACAACCCGGGCGTCTGGACGCTGCACTGCCACATCGCGTGGCACGCATCTGGGGGACTCGCGCTGCAGGACCTGGAGCTGAAGGAGATGGTGGCCGCGCAGATCGCGCAGGTCCCGACGACCTTCGCGAAGCGGCAGCTGGATCGGACGTGCGCGAATTGGGAGCGGTGGTATGCGGATTCGCGCAATCATTGGAATCCGAATGGGCGGTTTCAGGATGACTCGGGGATTTGATTCGAGGGGGGTGTATTTGTGAGGTAAGCGGATGGGGGGGGTAGGCTCTTGGTGGTGCAGGTAGTACAGAAGGTGTTAGCCCTCGATATAAAGGTGTTTTAGTGGGGTTTGGTACAAGACGGCATGCCACCTCCCGTCTGACAGAGTTGATATTTTCCGAGGGGGTAAGAGGAACCCCGTAATAGTTCATCAGTGATAGCAGATTGCTTCTATCTATCTATCAAACGTTGACTCCCCACGAACGGGGGGCAATACACGGGTTGATGCCGAATTCGATCCTACAACGGAGACAGATATCTCTTCGGTCTCGCTATGATCGGATGGTGGTTGCCAAGCACACAACCAGCTGATTGATGACAGTCGTTTTCGCCAAGAACGATAGAAATAAAGCCCTTTGACCGAGCACTTGTGAAGAATTGTCTGTTGCTAGCAACGCACTACTAGCAAGCTCCACTCAGCTCCATAGTCCCGGATCCCCATCGAGGCACGACCGATATGATTGGTCCGATCGCATACACTGCCTATCCAGGCAACGGAGATAAAGCCAAACTTAGGGCTAGCATTGATTCATTCAACCCCAGCTTCCTTTCCACATCCTATATACATATATGAACAATCGATCCCCGTAAATATACCCACCCCTCCCATCCAAGATGAGACACATGAAAGAAAATGCAACCCATCAATCTCCAAAAAGGCTCCCTGCACCCCTCCCTCCTCCCCGCCACCCAGCTCCGATCAGCCGCCGCAACCGTCCTCTCCAACCCAAGCCTCTACATCCCCGCGCTCAACTACGGCGACGAAGCAGGCTACCGCCCTCTCCGAGCAAACATCGCCCAATGGCTGACGGAGTTCTACGCGCCCGCGCGACCCATCCCCACCGAGCGGATCTGCATCACGGGCGGCGCCTCCCAGAACCTCGCGTGCATCCTGCAGGTCTTCACGGACCCGCGCCATACGGTGGCGGTGTGGCTCCCCGAGCCCACGTATCATTTGGTGTTTACCATGTTCCGGGACGCAGGGCTGGGGGATCGGCTGCGGGCTGTGCCAGAGGATGGGGAGGGGATGCAGGTTGAGGAGCTTGAGCGGGGGATTGCAGATGCCCCGGGTTGTCATTCTTCACCTGGGTGTGCGGCGTGCGGGGACGGTGGAATGGCCAGAGGCGCAGGCACAGACCAGACCAGCCCGGGCAAGAAATACAAGCATCTGATCTACTGCGTGCCAACCTACGCGAATCCCTCCGGCGCAACCATGTCCGTCCCCCGCCGCGAGGCCCTCGTGCGCTTGGCGCGACGACACGACGCGCTGGTCGTGTGCGACGACGTCTATGATTTCCTGTCTGTCACGCCTGCAGGTCAGTCGCCTGCTCCGCGGCTTGTGGACATTGATCGCACACTGGATGGTGGGGTCGGGCATGATGGGCTCGGCAATGTGGTGAGCAACGGTTCATTCAGCAAGATCCTCGGCCCCGGGTGTCGGGTGGGTTGGGCGGAGGCCACCCCGAGGTTCGTGGCGGCGCTGGCGCAGTGGTATGTATCCTTCATCGTACTTTGTTTCTCTCGCCCAGGCATCGAGTTTCCCCGTTGCAACCGTGGGCTAAATGCATTATTTTTCCCCTAGTGGATCCAGTATCTCCGGCGGTGCACCGTCGCATCTGACCTCCACATACATTGATCAGATGTTTGAGGATGGAAGCTTTCACACTCATCTCAACGGCACCATTCTGCCGGCCGCGTCGAAGAGGTACCGCATTCTAGCGAATGTAGTGCGGCAGAGGCTGGTTCCGCTGGGAGTGAGCTTTCAGCCGGATGAAGCGCGCGGGATGGCGGCGGGTGGATTCTTTCTGTGGCTTCGACTGCCTGCTGGGGTGAGTAGTGAGGATATAGACCGCGAAGCGATGAAGCAGGGGCTGGTCATTGGGAAAGGGAGGTTGTTTGCTGTACCGGGACGGAATGCGGGTGGCTCCCGGGAGCGAGTGGATGGCTTTATCAGGTTGTGCTTTATGTGGGAGGACGAGGATCGATTGGTGGAGGGGGTTGGGAGGTTGGAGATGGTTCTGCGGGGGTTGCTTGCTTCTAGGTGAATTTACTGCACCGTCTCGACACTCAGCTGTTTGAGGAATGCTCTGACGAGTTTTAATGCTCGATATAGAGATGGAGAAACCGAGTATAGAAAATGATTCCCCTTGTTGTCATACCCATCCACCTGAATAGCTACAGCTCCCAAGCATCCACTCGAACATCTCCAGCATGCTGAATCTGTCACCAGACCAAATGCCAAAAGAAATCAATCCACCCAAGACACCCCCGCAAAGGCCTCCTCTAGCCCTACCAGCCCCTCCACCCCCAGATCCTCCGCACTCAGAACTTCTTCTCCTCCCACCGCAGCGAAAGACCTCCCATCCGTAACCTGAAAGTAATAATGCGACACGTCCATCAACTCCGCCAACCCGGGCCACAGCGCCCGATAATCCTCCCGCCCAACCCGCACACACCTTACCTTCACCCCCTTCGCATTCCCAAACGCCTCCACCACCTCCCCCAACCCCCGATACCCCGTAATCGCCGCCACAACCCTCCCCGGCAGCGTCCTACCAGGCTTCTCCAAAACCGCTCTCACAAACACCCCCACATTAACCCTCTCATCCCCAACCACCGGAATCCTCGTCGCGGGATCGATATTCGTCAGCGTCAGAAACCCACCCCCACCTTCCGCCCCACGCACCCTCATCGGCCAAAAGCACGGCAGCAGCATATTGGCACTATACCACCCGACCCAGAGAAAGGTCGTCTTGGCCCACAGCCCCGGCAATTCCCGGGCAATGAACTCGTCCACGCGGCGCTTGCTCTCGTAGTACGGCACCACGACCTGCCCCGCGGTGTTGGCCCGGGAGTCCGGCAGCGTCGACCAGACGAAGTGCTCCAGCGTTGTGGCGGTGGCCGCCGCGGTGGCGATGTTGATCCCCATCTGGGTTTCGAGCGCCATGGCGCCGTCGACGCCGTGGGTGGGCAGCGCCTCGAAGAAGTTGGTCACCGCGAAGATGGCGTGGGTGCCGGCGAATGCGGTCGCGAGGGAGGTCGGGTCGTGCAGGTCGGCGGGGATGAGGTGGACGCCTTGCGCGGCGAGGGTCTGCGCGGCGGCGCTGGTGGGGTCGCGGGTGATGGCGCGGATGGTCGTGTAGGTTGACGGGGACGAGGTGGAGAGGAGGGCTCGGATGACGGAGCCGCCTTGAGTGCCGGTGGCGCCGATGATGGTGATTGTTTTGGTCATGGTTTGCTGCTCGAGGTATGGAGTCAGGCTTTGTTGGGATGGAGTGGATGGATGAACGTGGGGACTGTTGGATTAGGGCTGTGCGGGAGGGGGGTTGCTGTGTTGCTATGTTTTGGGCAATTTGGATGTGGATTCTGGTTCTTTATATAGTTTCTGGGCGTACATATAGACAGATGCGGGATGGCTCCTCTCAGGTGAGGTAATACGAAACTCTATCCTTCGTGTTTGCTCCTTTCTTTGTAGTTAACGTATAGTTAGATTGATGCATTATTAAGCTCTGCGGTGCGGGCTTCCACTATCGGGTGTGTTGCGGAGGTGGCGGGCAAAAGTGGGGCTCCCGCAGCCCGCAGCCCTATTTAGGCGTAAAGAGAGGTATACTTAACCTGCTCAGCACCACTCAAACAACCCGTGTTCTCGAATCACCCTTAGACACGATCCAGCCCACTCAGTACATCCTCGATCCAGTCCGCACCCCCTTCTTCAAGCCCCGCTCATACGCAACCGCCCGCACCAGATTCATCAGCATAAAATCACACCCGACCCCCCCCTGGATCTCCACCGTGGCCGGGAACTCCTCCTCCACCAGCGACACCCGGCTGTGGTACTTCACCGTCCCCACCGGCACCGCCACCTCGGGGCTCTCGTTCATCACCGAGAGGTAGTTCCAGCTGATATACCCCGGGAGCGCCGGGGCGCTGCCCTGCACGGTATAACTGATGTTACTGTCCCGATACCAGGGGATGCCGCCGTTGCCGTTGAAGGGGAAGACCACGATGGCGTCGGAGCAGGTTTCTTCGTTGGCAGACAGGAAGTATTTGCGGTAGAAGGCTTGGAACTCGGATTGCAGGGCGTGGCCGATCTCGCCTCGGGTGGCGTTTTGCGGGGTGAAGGAGGGGTCGCTGGCCGCGTTGAGGGTGGTGTAGGGGTAGCGGCCGAATTTCGCGAAGTAGTCTTTCTTGAAATCTAAGGCGAAGGTATTCGTTCCTGAGACGTAGGGGATGAGCTGTTTGGGTTGTTGTTTCTCTGGGTTAGCTGCATTGGAGGTAATGAGAGGGGCGATTAGGGGGGTGCTTATCGTGGCAAAGGTTGTATGTACTCCGTGGGGAGGACTCGGAACTTACATTCGCAAAGTGATCCACCAAGCTCACGTTACTCCCGGAGTATTCATACCACAGCGCATTGCTGTCAACGATGGTACGGTTCACGCCCAGGAATGCTTCCAGGTTCTGGACGTATTCCTCGCACGGCGCCGTGTAGTTCGGGTTGATGTTCGCCCAATACTCCCGAGGGTAGAGAATCTTCGTGGGGAACCTGGTGTAGTTCCTGTAGCCCGACTGGCCGTACATCACGGCACCGAAGGTGTTGAAGGAGTCCACGTCGCGAGCAAAATGGCCGGCGACGTCGAAGGGTCCGAACGCGGTCGCGGTGTTGTTGGTGCTGTTCTTGGTGGAGCGGATCCCGTACACGCCGTTTTGCGCGGCGGGGAAACGCATCGCTAGCGACGTTGTGTGTGAGTTATGGTAAACAGTAAATAAAGTGGTCTGACTTACAACCGCCTGTATCCTCCCCAATGGTAATGTCCAGCCAGTCGTATGCGGCGAGAGACGCCCCCGAGCCCGCAGAAGAGGCGCCGGGGATGAGGTACGACTCCCCGCGAGGATTCTATCGTGCATAAGCCTGAAGAACAATAACCCCATCAAATAAAGTAGCTTACAAAGGGCAGCGAGTAATCAGGCCACTCAGCGATGCTGAACCACGCATTAGCGAAGACCGACAGCTTGGTTTTGCCGACAACAATGGCGCCCTTATCGAGGAGATGCTGGATGACCCCGGACGTCACATTCGACGGAGGATACGTCGCGGCGTACGAACGACTGCCGAATGTCGTGATAAGGCCCTTCATGTCATACTGATCTTTGACGCCGATGCGGTAGCCCGCAAGCGGCTGCTCGGGCGTAGGCTGGTAGAACAGCCTGGATGGTACGGCGATTTGCATCGCTCCATAAAGGTCGCTACCGCTTGCAGGGAGGACTTCATAGGCGTTGGCGTCGTTGGCAGATGGGATGGTTGGCAGGACAAACGAATCGGTGTGATCGTCATAGAGGCGCCAGGCGCGGTGCAGGCCCGAAGATGTCGCAAAGTAGGGGCCGTCTGGAAGGGTTGTGTTGTGTTGTGGCAAAGCCCAAAATACTTGACTGGTTCCGAGTGATTTGAGCAGGGAGTCTGCGTCGCGATCCAGGGCAAGACCTTCGGGACCCTGGAAGTAGAACGCTAGCAGGCATCAGCAAACGTTTGTGGGCAAAATTGCAAAGCTTTTACCGTCGAAGAACCCCTTGGTGTAAACGTCGTCTCGGACCAAGAAATCAGAAACGGTGCTGTTGATCGATGATGCTGTAATTACTGCCTCGCGGGATGTGAAGACAGTCACCGGAAGTGCTTCTCGCACTTTGAATTCATGCACCAACTAAATTGTATGTATTGTTAGATTCATGGATCCCATTGCGAGACTTTGAGATAGTGGACAGGTAGAACACATACCTCGACCTTTGAGGGAACTTAGTATGGCACATCCAAGACATTGACAACACTCGACGCACAGGCGCAAATGGGAAGCGCCGCGAGAAGTAGAGTGGTGGCAGCCATTGTACCGATCGTGTTCAGCAGTGTTGAAAGCATCCATGTGCGTGCAGAGTAGTTGTAGCGCGGGCATCCGACTCAACTTATATGCTTCGCGTTCTCAAATCTACTGCCAGAAGAGGTAGAGATAAGATCAGGCAGTGTCAATCACAGAGACTTCACGCTTAATTCTTTGATGCCTATCATATTGCTGATACTGCTTCTTTTACGCGAATATCAAGCGTCCTTGACCAACAGGATGTTGACGGCCTCGATAGCCTCGCCAAGAGTCATATCCACAAGCTCGCCCGCCAGGAATATTAGTTTGATCAACATGCCAAGAAGATTTAGCGGCGGCATCGCAACATCCGCCTCGATAGATAAGTGATCTTCGGCAGTTCTGCGAAGCCAAAAAACCGGCAACATTAAGATAGCTACTGTATCCATCGCCCGTCCCCAGCTTCGATGCTATCACTTCATCATAAAACCTATAGAAACCCTAGTCTACACCAGACTGTGGATATCCATTCGAGAGGTAGACAATATGTGGAAAGGAAATGCTGTACCATATGTCAAGGATTGACGTAATTGCTTGTCGTCCGGCGAAGACATGATCGCAATGGAAAATTCGGGTGGTCTCAGCATTATGAAACTACTTCGTCTTCAGTGTGCATTGCTTTTGAATTAGGTACCTCGTGGTTGGCACTGGGAGAAGGGTTAATGGCTAAACCGCAAGAACGCGGATAGACAAATATACATCTTTATCCCTAGGACACAGCCGGACTATTCGGGCAAAAGATCACAGCAATCACGCAACTAGCCGCCCCAGACCCTCAAATGCCTCAGCAGCCTCCAGCCCCTGACACGGAACAATCAGCAACTTCTCAAAGCGATCCAGCCGCCGCGGCAGCGAAACAAGCCATCGCGCCAGGAACGCTTCGTAGGGCAGCGTCTCTGCATTCTCACCGTGCGAATGCCCTTTATCCTCCTGAAATGCACACACCCCATCCACGCCCCAAGCAGATATCCTCGCCGACAAAGGCAACTGCCGCAGTGTATGCAGTCCCACGCAGATCCCTTCTCGATACACCGAGTTGACCCCGTAGAGAAAGTAGACCAGGAGAGCGGTGCGTCGGATGCACTCGCCGAGGATCCAAGCATGGCGGGACCTCGGCCTCTGGAGCTCCGGCTCGGACTGCGCGCGAACGATGATCTTCAGCGCCGTGGTCATGAGCATAGACCCCTGTTGCTCGGCTGCGACCCGCTGCTGCAGGTTGCCATGGAAGAGTCGGAGGGTCTGGTAAAGCAGTAGTGCCTGGAGCCGCGCGAGCTCTATTCGAAGTAGCCTGGAACTAGAGCTCGAACTCGGTTCGGTGGCGGGCTGGAGTAGCTCGGAGACTTCAGAGTCGATCACGCGGAATGCCATCTCCCGGTTCGTGGAATCGGGACTGAGGCAAAAGGAAGAACAGACGCCAAAGGCCGTCCGGATCGGCCGTGGCATCTCATCGCGGTACAGGTCGCGGTGGATGAAGATTGTCTCTCCCCGTCGGGCGAATTCCCCCGGGTAGGCTTTGAGCTCATCCATCACCCACTGCCATGAGCGTGTGCTGCCTTGGATGGGTTGGACCTCGCCGAGGGTGCCTACGAATCTTGATGTGGCTGAAAATGAGATAGTCTCCGGCGGCGTGAAGTCTGGTGTACATGGACCTGGTGTGAAACTCGGTGGAAGCTGGAGCACTGCGCTTTGCTCGATTGGATTCAACATAGTGACTGCAGGTGACTTCAGAAGATCCAGTTCCAAAGCGGTACTAGTCGTACGCATTGCTGGCGAGTCGAGTATCTCGTCTGGCACAGTTGGTGGGTCGTCGGTGCGGTCGATGCGCCCTGGTGGTGGCATAGGCGGGTATGCATATTGGCAGGTTTTGTTTGTTCTCCTGCAATTTTCGCAGACTGGATATTCCAGATCGCATTTTCTTCGGCCTTTGAAACAGGCGTTGCAAGACCTGCGCCGTAACGACATGGTGGTGGTGGGTGTTGGGTGGGGAAGGGGGGCGGAAGTGGCGGATCCGCTGACGAGGATAAGAGAACTTAACATAAATCTGCAACACTGCATGCAGTAAGCACTAAAGCAGCACGTGCCTAACATCAAGCCTTGCAGTCATCTTGATCTGCATACTATAAGAGAAGGTAGTGTACCGAAGGATAGGCAGTCCGTTTCATAGTAGCAGATAGAGGATTCAAGGATTGGTTTGGTGATTAGCTGGCTACTTCTTAATGTCCTGCGCTAGCGCTTGCAGAACTCTTGGCCAGATTTTATTTAACAAAGCACCGCATCTATAAATGCGAAGATATATGATACAGAATAAGCTCCCACAAGACGATATATATACTCATTGGTACGGATGACGACCTCCGTGGTGCTGGTGAAACTGGAGGTGCTGGCCACCCAGACCATGCGGTCGCGGCGGTACGCGCTGCTCCGTATGCGAATCGTAAGCTGAGGATGCCGAAGCGGTGGACATCGATGATGAAGCTGACAAGGCCACTGTGACATCCGGGCTTGCTGTGGCGAAATAACACGCAGATGGTGGCTCCGAGGACGGCGAAACCACCGAAGAAGAACTCGGCGTCTGGTAGGCCGGAGTCGACAATCGAGGCGGAGTAGAGGGTCTAACCGATGCCGTCGCGTTCCTTCTGTAGGACGGCAGCGCACTACTCGAGGCGTAGGCACTACTCGAGGCATAGGCACTACTCGAAGGGAAGGCAGAAGCCTCCGCAAGGGGACTATACGGCGTCAAACCCGGGTAGAACGAAGTGGGGATCGTTGGAATCGGAATGGGAGCAGAGGTGCCAAACGCCGTCGCAAGGTCCTCGGCCATCGTGGTGGCCGAGTAGCCCGCCGGGGGCGTGTTGATGTACTGCGTCGTGGTGTAGCCTCTCGCGGTGCCAGTGACTGGGACGGTCGCGTTGGAAAGACAATAGCCTGAGCCGTACGAGTGCTCGCAGACGTGCAATGCGTAGTGGCCTTTCTCGTTCCAGAGGGCAAATTCCTCAATGGCCAGATCCGTGCAGGGCGTCAGGGCGGGGCATTTGACCTTAATGAGCGGACGGTCCTCGCCGTCAACCTCGGTGCCTTTCCAGTTGCGGAATGTGATGTTGCTGTATGCGATGCCGTCCCCTTCGATCGTGGACATGCTGCTCCAGGCTGTGTCAAAATCTAAGCTGTAGGCGTTTCCATGGCCTAGAAAGGTTGGGGATCGATATTAGGTCTCCGTCTCAGGGCTAGGGCTAGGGCATCAGCCCTGTATGACAAGGCAAACTTACCCATGAAGTTCTCAAAGAGGACGTTCGACACAGTCCCGGATCCGCCGTTGCTCTTGATCATGAACATCTGGTTGGATGACCATGTGTAGACGTTCCGGTAGGTGACGTCGCTGACGTTGGTACCGGCGCCCAGGGACCCCATGGCACACCCTCCACTACTGTTGCAGTAAATGCTCTCGACGAGAATATTCTTCGACCCGGTCTGTGGAAGATGCAACGTTAGTCGCTTGATACACTGTACTACCAGGATGGTGGGGGCTCCTACCTTGACTGTGACACATTCATCCTTGTTCGTGACCATGACCTGTATTGCAACTTGTCAGCGTATGCTGTCCCATCAGCAAAGCATACTGGAGCCACCCACATCATGAATCCAGATATTCGTTCCGCTGACATCAACCCCATCGAGCCCTCCATGATCCCCACCGCGGATTGCCATATTATACACCTCACCGTTAGTAGCCCCCTGGATCACAAAGTGGAACATCGGGGAGTCGACAAGCGCCAGGTCATGAACCGCCCAGTCCGATCCCCCACTGACGTGGAGGAGTCGCGGGCCCACGAAGTTACCTGACTGGTGATACAGGTATCCGCTGCCCTGAATGGCACCGCGCGACGTTGAGCTGAAAACTTCGAAGTCACTGCTCGAGGAGATTTCGAACATGTACGATTGCGAAGAGGGGGCGGCCCCGCGATAGATGATTCCGTCTAGCTGGATGGCAAAGGCACTGCCATTGGTGAGGTGGACCCAGGTGGTTTGGAGATAATCGCCTGGAGGGATGTAGATGACGCCCCCTCTTCCGCAGTCCGCAAAGGCATCGATGATGGGCTGTCCGACGTCTGTTGCGTTGTCTGCAACGGCACCGTAGTCGAGCACATTGCACGTTCTGGTGGCGTTCTTCTCCGCCGCGGTCGTCAAGGGTCCAACGCGGCCAGCGAGCTGGCCCTGTGCCGTAGCGAGGAGCAGAGGGAGAACATGCAGGAGGGAGGTTAAAGCAACCATGTTTGGATCGCACTTTGCTCTGAAGACATGACTTCTATGCTGGGGAAGGTGATATATGTATCGTGTATCATGAATCAGTCGTGCTGGCCATCCCTTCTCGATCCCTTTACCGAACGAGTCAGCAAGCGACCCCAGTTCTCCCGTGCTCCTAAACATGTTCCCTCATTGAGCGGGTAGCGTACGTATGTCTGGAGCATGAGACCCGATCGCCGATTCAGATAGATTGTGGTGGATGCCGATCGCCCGGGGAAAACTCCCCGAAATAGTCTAGTTGCCCCCGCCTGTCAGCCATATTCAACGGCATTGTTAGCCCTGAAACAAGGGGGCAAGGAGTTGGTCCGTAAGCGACCCTCGGCCCTCCTGAACATGCATGCAACGATACATAATCCAGTACTAAGTAGAACTCTTCAGTCGCTGCCCCATCGGCCGAGGGTGTTGCTGTAAGCGAGGTTCTATGAGTATGTCCCACGGAGCCGACCCGTTTGTGGCCCGAACACCGGACGATCGGATTTGCGGCACGGTAATCAGCCTACATACTGAATAGCCATGCGGTCAATACCGCTGTGTGAAGACTTGACGTGACGTGTATTTTCTTAGCTTGTAGGTTCTTGGTCTTTGTTGGCCGGACAATAAGCTTTGTTGGTTTCTTCACGATGAACCCCCAACGTTAGCGTTGGCTGAGGTGTGGGGCGTCTGTATTTTGTAGGTGCCGCCCCCTCGTCTCGAGGGCAGGAAAGGTGCTGCGAAGAACCCCCACTAGATTGCTCTCTCTTTATGAGCTTACTTTGTTGCTCTGAATCTCAGATACATGATCTTATTTCAGCATCCATGGCGTATGAGCACAGTACCTCAAGCCCTTTTCATGTCGTTATGTGGAAGACCGTTGGTATCATTTTGTACACCGGCACGAGACTTGGATTTCCACCGCCTCACTTCATTTCGGTAACGGCTCGCCCTAGACAATCTGACCTTGCAAAGTGCTGTCTTCTGATTCAGGTACGTGGTCAATGCTTTTTTTTTTTTTGTTTTTTCTCCTTGACAACAGCATTCAGGATCGAGCGTGCCACCCTCAAATGACTTACCGGAGTCATGAGCGGCAACTAGCCCGACCTAATCTCCAAGCTGTGGAGTATACCATATCACTCCCTGAATAATGGCCGACATATCTAAGAAGCGTGAGAGAAATGCGTAGACATGTAAAGTGGCGGGGGCTCCGTCCGGAGATGCGAGCCGTGACACTGACACTGACACTGACAGCGGCTCAAATTTCCGAACCGTAGGATCCAGCTCCATGCGACACTGTAGCTGGTGATCTCTGGACGGAAGTCCTTGGCTCGAGGCCTAGAGATTCTGGACCGCCCCAGACTGGGCCGAATCCGGGGCATCCGGGGCGGACTCCTTGGCATCTTGGCTGGGAACAGGCGTTCATTTACAACAGTGGAACGAACCAGCTTTACAGGATAATGTGGGGACCTCATAACACGGGTATGAAGCCGAAGACACGGACCACTTGTGTCTAGATTTCGAACTCATAGCAGGATGAACCAAAATGGGTGCTCTACGAAGGCTGTGCTATTATCTATGATCAGCGGTGCGTGTAGGAGTCGAAGATTACTTGAACTGCTACTAAGTCGATGGAAGTCTATTTGTGTATACTCGGATTCCAGATACAGAGGTAAAGCTTGGCCCTTTTCTGAGACAAATTGAGAGAACAAAAGCTGGGATTTCTAGCCTGTAACATAAACACCTTTCCGCCTATCTCTTATAAAACAGACAAATGATGTCTATACTTCAGAGACATATTATATTGTCCCAGGGAGTGGAAAGTCTCGCTAGCGAGATCATAGCGTTGCATTTGGACTATTCGTCTGCGCTTGTAGTTTCCGCGTTGCTTCTAATTCAGCTGCATAGATAGCACCTAGCGCGGAAGTTGTGCAAAGGTAGGGTTATTCTTGGATACTCGTATTCTGCACTTGAGAGCTCTCCGCCATCCACAAAAGGTCACCTTGCTTTCACTTGCTTGGGCTCTGCGAGCTGTACCTCTTTGGAGGCAGTGCTAAGCACTTGGTGGTCTGTTTGGGGTTGAAGCAAGGACTGTGTTCCCGTGTCATAGACCCGGATCACTGGGCGTAATACGAACGATCGGATGCCTAAAAGCGGATACGAATAGACCAGACATCGGAACCCAGGTTAGATGGGAATCTAGACTGAGCAATGTAGGCCATGGGAAATGAATCACCAGTAACTAAAGATATCAGTGGTATTGGATTTCGCCCCAGTGTGGTATAAAAGCCTCGACCAATCCTAACCACAGAACACAAGAACACACAGCATCTCACACCCAACACCACCATCATTACAAGAAAGCCTTCTCTACTCAGAGCCAATACCCTTCAACTTCCTATATCTTCACCATGAAGTCCCCAATCTACCTCCTAACCGCACTGCTCCCCCTGACCCTGGCCCTGCCCTCCGCCGAAGAAGCCGACGTCGACTCCGACGACATCGACGTCCACCTCGCGGCCAGAAAGTCATGCAAGTCCAGCAAGCAAATCAACTACTACCAATGGCCTGTAGTCCAGACCGGAAGCTATCAGGCACAGACCAACGTCGATTACCGGTGCAAGTGGAAGTACGATGCTACGCTCTCAGCCCAGCAATCATGACCCTTATCTGGCTGTACTAACACAAACGCTCTGCAGAAACGGCGACTGGTATAAGACGGGCAAGGGCTGGTGGGTTAGCGGAAGTAATGTTCCCAGTGGTTGCAGTATGTCACACCAACCCCCCTTGTGATGCCCGTTGATTCCATGCGTTCTCCAATCAAGAGGATGGTGTGCTAACGTACGTACAGAGAGCGGCTTGCCTACCTGCAGCGTCTGAGTCTGATGGATTGCGTGCTTGTTTTGGGATGGGACTGCTCCCTCGTAACCTTCTGCGCTATGTTTCATGTCGCAATTGATTGATGTTTTCTCTCTATATTCGAAAATATAATGACAGCTTTGCGTTTCAGTGCGAAGATCATTGTTCGTAGCGTATTGGCTCCTAAAGTCCATCCAAACGTAATTCATCGCACTACATCATGTTTCCATCTGGTTGCACGCGTGTGCGATGCGCCATCTAGGAGACATGCTCCATTTTACTTGGCCTCCAAGCAGAACAATTGAGATATGGAGATGAACTGGGGAAGAAACACAACCTTGCCAGCCTCATACGCAAGTTAATCCTAGTTCGAGATAGATCTTTCAACCACAAGATAGTCTGATTTCAGATTCAATAAGGGTCTTGTGTCATTCTGCCTCAAACGACTACTCTCCATGCAGCATCAATCCACCCGCAACCTCCTCGTCCACAGGTACTCATAATCCGGCATGGCACCCTCGACCCACCTCTCCATCTGCTCCGCCACGAGACTCCCAAACTCACGCTCCCACTTCTCCCTCTCAGCCCCGACATCCACGACCGCGGGAGTCTTCTCCTTGAGCAAGGAAGTGGAATGATCCAGCGTCGCGAGCATGACCGCCTCCGCCCGGGCGCGAGGATCCTCTTCCTCCCCCTCCCGCCGCTCCGACCGACTCCAGCGGAGGCGGACCTTCTCCGGATCCAAGCCGATGAGCTCGCAGTACTTGGCGACCACCTCGGGACGGTGAATGACATCCTGCGCGTCGAGCAGCAGCGGCAACGCAGGGCGTGAGTCTCCGCGATCACAGTACCAATCATACAGCAGCCTCGTCCACCGCAGCGTGGCGTGCAGCTCCAGGAACGGCTCGATCATGCGCGGCTCGCAGAAGCTCTCCCTCTCCAGGCCGTGCAGGGCGCGGTAGAAGGAGGGGAACACCAGGGCCGGATGGCGGATGAGGAAGGTCGCGCGCCACGAGGCCAGGTATGCGTCGGGAAGGATGGTGAAATTCTCGGGGGAGAATGCTGCGCTGCCGCTGCCGGGTTGGAAATTGAGGTATGGTTTGGGTACCTGCACGCCCAGTCGCATCGAGGGATGATGGCTGCGGCTGCCTGTGGCCAGGTACTGGGCCATCGCGGCCGGTTCGGCCAGCCAGAGGGTGTGCTCCTTGGCGAAGAAGACCTTGCCTTGGGTGAGGGCGGCCTGCGAGCTGGCTTCGATGTGGTCGAGGTTCTGCTGGAAGGCTTGCCGCAGGTTCGCGGTCTCGGAGGGCTCCCACTGCTCGACGGGCCGGCGGCTGCAGACCGTGTCGCGCTCGTTCATGAACGCGTCCCAGAAGAAGTAGCCGCCCCGCTCGTTGGAGACGACGTTGGGCTGATCCGGTAGCGAGAGCATCCTGACGAGGAGGTTCGAGGCCGTCCGGGGGTAGGTGATCAGGAGCACCCGGTCTGCGGGCTTGGGCGGGCCCAGGTGGTGGGCATCGTTGCTTGGGGCCATTTCTCGCGCTGTTGCAGGAGAGATGAGTGCGGATCGTAGGACGGATCAAGGCACGAAGAAGTGAGGCAGAGAGGCGATGGCTATCCCTTGTTACTCTTCTAATAAATGGTCGTGCCCTTCGTGATGCTCGAATGGCAGCCCCGTAGCCAAGACGCGCTACCCATTCTTCTTATCCTTTTTCCATCGTACTACATCGAAAGACTGTCTTCAGATCGAGACCGATTTTACTGGGTCTCTGGAGCATTCCAGGAAAAGAGTTCACCAGCGTGGTGCTCAGGAATGTGCATGCCATACCTCAGACGTCCCAATGCGGTAAACAGCGCTTGCGCTTGACAACTTTGCAAACCGCGTCGAAATGCAACATTAGCTCTACATCCAATGAGTGATACAGCTAATAAATTCTCGTTGTCCAAACTGACGCAGAGGATCCACTGTGCTTCCTCGACCCAGCGATGCGGTGTCGAATCGTATGTGGCGTGCAGCACCCCCCACGCAGCTGATAGATGAGACGGACACTCCCGTATTTCCCACTAATAACGATCACACGTCAGGGAGTCTCTGACACCTCGCTAGTGAGCTGGCTGAGTTCTCCACCAACCATTGCGTGTGCCGTGTAGGAAGTGCAATCGGTGGGGAGATCTAGCCCTCGTCGCAGATCGCCGGATGCGGAAATCGAATCTCGGAACCTTCTTCAACTCTCCTTCGCATGAAAAGGGTGGAACCGTGGATTTGACATCCGCACTATATACCGGGATTGCAGTCTATTACTTAATAGCTTATTTAGCCATGGGCTCACTTGTACGAAGCACAAACCTTGCTGGTTCCCCCTCCACACTCCCCGTAGGTCTTGACTTTTGGGGGGGGGGGGGGGGAGCACTTTGGCTCGATATAGCCAGAAGTCTTAGTATCTTCGAAAAGGGATCCCAGAGACCTGATGTTGCAGAAGATTAGCATCACTTGATATTCGTTCTTTTCTATGCTCTGCCACCCTCGTCACGCGCATGCCTGACTTACAGCAATTCCAGCAAACTATCTCTCGTATACGCCGTGACCTATGACCCGTATTATAGCGGGGCGTAGCCGTTGCTAGAACTCAATTCCCAATAGTCTTGATGTAATCCACGGCCATTCCTGACTCGTTGCCTAGACGCACACGATGCGCGACATCTACTGGGGCTTCCACCATGGGTTCCATATAATTCTCCTCAGTGCCGTGTGCGGGCCAATCTCTGCAGTCTCTTTGCATGGTTCCGCACGAGAGCATAGGTAGTGGGTTTGTACAGCACCCCTCACCATGGGCACCAATTGGAAGAAGACTCTAGAAATAGGGACCCTCCTAGCATTTACTAGTCTGGCAGATTGTGCCAACTGGGCATCCTACCAATCTGTCAGTTGCCTCTAGCTCCAGTAGCCCCCCTGCACCCCCTTGCTAACCACCTGGTCGAGTACGCAGCGACCAAACATCCGCGCTCCGATCCTCGAGATCAGCCTCAAGAATGACAGCCTCATTACGCCAGGGTACATCTTCATCGCCCCGTACTTTGGCGATGTACCAGGGCCTTACATCTACGACACCAATGCCGTATGATTCTGCGCATTCCCCCGTCTTTCACCCCCAGCCCAGCCCAGCCCAGCCCTAACGCCAGCAGAACCTGATCTGGAGCGGCGCCGACGGCTCCGCCACCGACATCTTCCAAGACCTGCACGCCTGCGCATACAACGGAACCGACCACCTGTGCTACTTCCAAGGCACGCAGATCGGCGGGTACGCGCGGGGCCAGCACGAGATCCTGGACAGCAGCTACAGCCCGGCAGCGACGGTGCGCAGCGGCAACGGGCTCGAGATGAGCGACATGCACGAATCGGCCGTGATCAACAGCACGAGCATGCTGGTCCCCATCTACCAGCCGCGCACGGCCAACCTCAGCGCGTACAACGTGACCGCCGACCCCGGGTGGGTGATCGACGGGGTCTTCCAAGAGATCGAGATCTCCACGGGCGCCGTGCGCTTCCAATGGAGCAGTCTAGACCAGCAGATCCTCCCGGGGGAGTCGTACACGCCGCCGGGCCTGAACCCGGTGGTCGGCAACGGGACCAGCAACGCGACGGCGTGGGACTACTTCCACCTGAACTCGATCGACAAGAACGGGGCGGGCGACTACCTCATCTCGGCGCGGCACACCAGCGCCATCTACAAGCTCTCGGGCGCCACGGGCGCCGTCCTCTGGCGCCTGGGCGGCCGGCAGTCCACCTTCACGCAGACCAACTACAACTTCTCCGCGCAGCACGACGCGCGCTTCCTCGCCGAGAACGCCACCACCACCATCCTCTCCCTCTTCGACAACGGCAGCGACAACTACCGCAACACCTCCGCCGCCTCGGCGGGCATGATCGTCGCCCTCGACCACACCACCAACTCGTCCGCCTTGCTGCGGCGCTACGACGCCCCCGGAGCTCCCCCCGGGATCCGCGCGTGGAGCCAGGGCAGCTGCCAGATCCTGGCCTCGGGGAATGCCTTCATCGGCTGGGGCAGCACCCCGGCCATCTCGGAGCATCTCGAGGACGGCACCCCGGTGTTTTTTGCGGCGGTGGCCGACGAGCGTTCCATGAATTACCGCGCCTACAAGGCCAATTGGACCGCTGTGCCCGCCGAGCCCCCCGCCCTGAGGGTGTATAGTCCCGCGCCGGGCGCGGGGCCGACGACCTTCTGGATGAGTTGGAATGGCGCGACGGAGGTGGATCATTGGAATATCTATGCGCCGGCGGCGGAGCAGGTGGTGATGCTGGGGACGGTGGGGAACTCCGGGTTTCAGACGACGTTGACGAGTTCGGCGTATTATCCGAGGGCGTTTGTGGAGGCCGTGGGCAGGGATGGAGCGAGTTTGGCGAATTCGTCGACGGTGGATACTTCTTCGACGTTGCCGGGTTGATAGAGTTGTTGGGGTTTTGGGTGTTGGCTGGGGGGGGATTAAATGCGGTCTTCTTAGAAGTTGAGGTGCTAGTGTTATGTTTTCTGTTTTCAAATTAATTTTATGTGGGTTGCAATCTGATTGTCAATACATTTTGCGACTCAGTCATTGTTATGGCAGTTCCAGGTTAAAGATCCTATCAGTCTGAATGGGCATTCCAGGTGGGCATTGTCCGTGCAATCCAAGGACAGGTACTGTGTAGACAAGATTTTGTTCCCGCGCTGGTTAGGGCTTCCAGCCCTGCGCTTGAGATCAATGCAATGCTGCATAGATGCTGACATAGTAGCGTTGTGCGACTGGATAGTTTGCAGAGGTCTAGAAAGGATTGGACCAAACAACAGTTGCATTCCCTGAGCAGGCTTTGTCTTCATGGTGAGCCGACGATGGATTCCATTGATGGTTCCAAACGGAAAGGCACCTACGTCAGATCGCAAATGCTTACATTTTGCATTAAGGATTCATCTGCTCTTTGTTCTCTTTTGGGTTGTTTCGTGGGGCCGTTTTCATTCAACAAACCA